GTCTGCCTGGAGCGCCAGATGGATTTGCAGTTTTGGGACTTTTCTATTGGTTTATTGAGCCAGGCAAGCTTCTAAATCAGGTCTACAACTATTCCAGAGCACTGTGAAAATGAAAAACTGGAAATCGAGGATTGTGCTACAATACGAAAAAACATCATCCATCCTGCCTATACATTTTCCTCAACATGTGCTTCACAGGCCACGGCCATTAAAATAACACTGGGAGCCCTAATGGCAGCCGGCTGTCATCCCAGTTTTCTGTGAACATCTGCTTCTGAGGAGCAACTGGGGTGCTGGGGCGGCTCTACTGTAGAGCAGGATCCCTTTGTTGTACATTAATGACATTAGGATGTTGCTGATGTGAACTCCCAGGTTGAAGACAGTGTATGTATGTACAGTGGCTTGCGAAAGTATTCACCCCCCTTGGAATTTTTCCTATTTTGTTGCCTTACAACCTGGAGTTAAAATGGATTTTTGGGGGTTTGTATCATTTGATTTACACAACATGCCTACCTATTTTTTCTTGTGAAATAAACAAGAAATAAGACAAAAAAAACAGAAAACTTCAGCGTGCATAACTATTCACCCCCCCAAAGTCAATATTTTGTAGAGCCACCTTTTGCAGCAATTACAGCTGCAAGTCTCTTGGGGTATGTCTCTATAAGCTTGGCACATCTAGCCACTGGGATTTTTGGCCATTCTTCAAGACAAAACTGCTCCAGCTCCTTCAAGTTGGATGGGTTCTGCTGGTGTACAGCAATATTTAAGTCATACCACAGATTCTCAATTGGATTGAGGTCTGGACTTTGACTAGGTCATTCCAAGACATAAATGTTTCCCCTTAAACCACTCAAGTGTTGCTTTAGCAGTATGCTTAGGGTCATTGTCCTGCTGGAAGGTGAACCTCCGTCCCGGTCTCAAATCTCTGGAAGACTGAAACAGGTTTCCCTCAAGAATTTCCCTGAATTTAGCGCCATCCATCATTCCTTCAATTCTGACCAGTTTCCCAGTCTCTGCCGATGAAAAACATCCCCACAGCATGATGCTGCCACCACCATGCTTCACTGTTGAGATGGTGTTCTCGGGGTGATGAGAGGTGTTGGGTTTGCGCCAGACATAGCATTTTCCTTGATGGCCAAAAAGCTCAATTTTAGTCTCATCTGACCAGAGTACCTTCTTCCATATGTTTGAGGAGTCTCACACATGCCTTTTGGCAAACACCAAACGCGTTTGTTTATTTTTTTCTTTAAGCAATGGCTTTTTTTGGCCACTCTTCTGTAAAGCCCAGCTCTGTGGAATGTACGGCTTAAAGTGGTCCTATGGACAGATACTCCAATCTCCGCTGTGGAGCTTTGCAGCTCCTTCAGGGTTATCTTTGGTCTCTTTGTTGCCTCTCTGATTAATGCCCTCCTTGCCTGGTCCGTGAGTTTTGGTGGGCGCGGCCCTCTCTTGGCAGGTTTGTTGTGGTGCCATATTCTTTCCATTTTTTAATAATGGATTTAAAAATGGTGCTCCGTGTGATGTTCAAAGTTTCAGATATTTTTTTATAACCCAACCCTGATCTGTACTTCTCCAAAACTTTGTCCCTGACCTGTTTGGAGAGCTCATTGGTCTTCATGGTGCCGCTTGCTTGGTGGTACCCCTTGCTTAGTGGTGTTGCAGACTCTGGGGCCTTTCAGAACAGGTGTATATATACTGAGATAATGTGACACAGATTTCACACAGGTGGACTTTATTTAACTAATTATGTGACTTCTGAAGGTAATTGGTTGCACCAGATCTTATTTAGGGGCTTCATAGCAAAGGGGGTGAAAACATATGCACGCAACACTTTTCCACTATTTATTTTTTAGAATCTTTTGAAACAAGTTATTTTTTTCATTTCACTTCAACAATTTGGACTATTTTGTATATGTCCATTACATTAAATCCAAATAAAAATCCATTTAAATTACAGGTTGTAATGCAACAAAATAGGAAAAACACCAAGGGGGATGAATACTTTTGCAAGGCACTGTATGTACAGTGAGGGAAAAAAGTATTTGCCCACTGACAAAGACATGATCAGTCTATAATTTTAATGGTAGGTTTATTTGAACAGTGAGAGACAGAAAAACAACAAAAAAATCCAGAAAAACGCATGTCAAAAATGTTATAAATTGATTTGCATTTTGATGAGGGAAATAAGTATTTGACCCCTCTGCAAAACATGACTTAGTACTTGGTGGCAAAACCCTTGTTGGCAATCACAGAGGTCAGACGTTTCTTGTAGTTGGCCACCAGGTTTGCACACATCTCAGGAGGGATTTTGTCCCACTCCTCTTTGCAGATCTTCTCCAAGTCATTAAGGTTTCGAGGCTGACGTTTGGCAACTCAAACCTTCAGCTCCCTCCACAGATTTTCTATGGGATTAAGGTCTGGAGACTGGCTAGGCCACTCCAGGACCTTAATGTGCTTCTTCTTGAGCCACTCCTTTGTTGCCTTGGCCGTGTGTTTTGGGTCATTGTCATGCTGGAATACCCATCCACGACCCATTTTCAATGCCCTGGCTGAGGGAAGGAGGTTCTCACCCAAGATTTGACAGTACATGGCCCCGTCCATCGTCCCTTTGATGCGGTGAAGTTGTCCTGTCCCCTTAGCAGAAAAACACCCCCAAAGCATAATGTTTCCACCTCCATGTTTGACGGTGGGGATGGTGTTCTTGGGGTCATAGGCAGCATTCCTCCTCCTCCACACACGGCGAGTTGAGTTGATGCCAAAGAGCTCGGTTTTGGTCTCATCTGACCACAACACTTTCACCCAGTTCTCCTCTGAATCATTCAGATGTTCATTGGCAAACTTCAGACGGCCCTGTATATGTGCTTTCTTGAGCAGGGGGACCTTGCGGGCGCTGCAGGAATTCAGTCCTTCGCGGCGTAGTGTGTTATCAATTGTTTTCTTGGTGACTATGGTCCCAGCTGCCTTGAGATCATTGACAAGATCCTCCCGTGTAGTTCTGGGCTGATTCCTCACCGTTCCCATGATCATTACAACTCCACGAGGTGAGATCTTGCATGGAGCCCCAGGCCGAGGGAGATTGACAGTTATCCTGTTGTCACCTTCTCACCAAGCTGCTTGGCGATGGTCTTGTAGCCCATTCCAGCCTTGTGTAGGTCTACAATCTTGTCCCTGACATTCTTGGAGAGCTCTTTGGTCTTGGCCATGGTGGAGAGTTTGGAATCTGATTGATTGATTGCTTCTGTGGACAGGTGTCTTTTATACAGGTAACAAGCTGAGATTAGGAGCACTCCTAATCTCAGCTCGTTACCTGTATAAAAGACACCTGGGAGCCAGAAATCTTTCTGATTGAGAGGGGATCAAATACTTATTTCCCTCATTAAAATGCAAATCAATTTATAACATTTTTGACATGCGTTTTTCTGGATTTTTTTGTTGTTATTCTGTCTCTCACTGTTCAAATAAACCTACCATTAAAATTATAGACTAATCATTTCTTTGTCAGTGGGCAAACGTACAAAATCAGCAGGGGATCAAATACTTTTTTCCCTCACTGTATGTATGCATATATACAGTACCAGTCAAAAGTTTGGACACACCTACACTTATTCAAGGGTTTTTCTTTATTTTTACTATTTTCTACATTTCTATGAAATAACACATATGGAATCATGTAGTAACCAAAAAAGTGTTACACAAATCAAAATATATTTTATATTTGAGATTCTTCAAATAGCCACCCTTTGCCTCCATGACAGCTTTGCACACTCTTGGCATTCTCTCAACCAGCTTCACCTGGAATGCTTTTCCAACAGTCTTGAAGGAGTTCCCACATTTGCTGAGCACTTGTTGGCTGCTTTTCCTTCACTCTGCGGTCCGACTCATCCCAAACCATCTCAATTTGGTTGAGGTCGGGGGACTGTGGTAGCCATGCTGGTTAAGTGTGCCTTGAATTCTAAATAAATCACAGACAGTGTCACCAGCAAAGCACCCCCACACCATAACACCTCCTCCTCCATGCTTTACGGTGGGAAATACACATGCGGAGATAATCTGTTCACCCACACCGCGTCTCACAAAGACACGGCGGTTGGAGCCAAAAATCTCCAATTTGGACTCCAGACCAAAGGAGACATTTCCACCAGTCTAATGTCCATTGCTCGTGTTTCTTGGCCCAAGCAAGTCTCTTCTTCTTATTGGTGTCCTTTAGTAATGGTTTCTTTGCAGCAATTCGACCATGAAGGCCTGATTCACACAGTCTCCTCTGAATAGTTGATGTTGAGATGTGTCTGTTACTTGAACTGTGTGAAGCATTTATTTGGGCTGCAATTTCTGAGGCTGGTAACTCTAATGAACTCTGGGTCTTCCATTCCTGTGGCGGTCCTCATGAGAGCCAGTTTCATCATAGCGCTTGATGGTTTTTGCGACTGCACTTGAAGAAACTTTAAAAGTTCTTGAAACTTTCTGTATTGACTGACCTTCATGTCTTAAAGTAATGATGGCCTGTCGTTTCTCGTTGCTTATTCGAGCTGTTCTTGCCATAATATGGACTTGGTCTTTTACCAAATAGGCCTATCTTCTGTATACCCCCCCTTCCTTGTCACAACACAACTGATTGGCTCAAACGCATTAAGAAGGAAAGAAATTCCACAAATTAACTTTAAGAAGGCACACCTATTAATTGAAATGCATTCCAGGTGACTACCTCATGAAGCTGGTTGAGAGAATGCCAAGAGTGTGCAAAGCTGTCATCAAGGCAAAGGGTGGCTATTTGAACAATCTCAAATATAAAATATATTTTGATTTGTTTAAGACTTTTTTGGTCACTACATGATTCCATATGTGTTATTTCATAGTTTTGATGTCTTCACTATTATTCTACAATGTAAAAAATAGTAAAAATAAAGAAAAAACCTTGAATGAGTAGGTGTCCAAATGTTTGACTGGTACAGTATATACATACATACATACATCACAAAACCCATAGACAAGATCGCCATCTAGTGTCAGTACTACAGAGTCACACTCACCTTCTGTACCTTTGCATGATGTCTAGGGTCTGCTGTGTGTATTCTGAATCGACACACAACTGCAGAGAGACACGCATACACACATGCGCGCACACTTACCTCTGTTTGTTCTGAGGCAGGGCCTTGGCATCCACTGTAAACATCTTGGACACAAACACAATGACAGGGGCTGTGTCATCACTGGAACACTGCATGAAGGCTGGGGACACACAGGACAAGGCTACTGAGCATATAGTTAGAATGCAATAAGAGAACCAAGTACCACTGTATACAGAAACTACAGCACATGCTCTGAGTAAAATATAGGATTAAACAGTTTATTTGACTCAAAGTAAGTTTTGACCGAAATATAGATTCCATTCTTGCTTAAATGTGATTTTTAAATGGAAGAAAGTCTCTGTTCTCAACAGAGATACTGTATGACTCCTTACCCACCCAGATACTATAGAGATTATGTCATTAACATGTTCAAACATTGCCTCTCACCTAGGACATGTTCAGTAGTGCACAACGTAACAAAACGTTTTGCAACGAAAAAACGTCTTTCTTATTGGACAAATTTAGGTAGAACCCTCCCGGTTTTGGCCCATTTTGCTTCTGTTTGTTTCCAAGTGAAGACACCAAACAGCTTCCCTGGCAATTTATTGATCTATGAATATCATTGATTAGCTATTAAACAAGGTTGTCAAATCTGGAGGTACTGTGATCGGTACTACCTGAACGTATCCATTTTTTGATTTTGTTAAAAATGTTCCCTCTGTTTTGTGCATTCAACGCAACACTGATCTCGTTAACATGAGGTGAGAGCTGGAAAGAGAAAACACCTGCCAACTCTCCTCTCCATAGCCAGGCGGTCTGTGAAAGAAGAAAGCCTTGAACTGGGGCTGGGTGGAGGGAGGAAATGACTAGCAGGTCTCCTAAACTAACACCTTCAGAGGAAACAGAAACACCTTGGTAATAAAAGCAGAACATGCCAGGTGGGCTTTGGAAGAGCTCACACACACATCCTCCCACACACTGAACCACCCACATACAGCAGACCAAGCCAACCTTTCTGCAACTGCAGAGTATGTGTGTGTGTGTCTCACCTGTCTTCAGCTCCTGGGTCTGCAGGGGTAGTGAGTGGAACCTGCGTGCTCCCACACTCATCAGTCTCTCTATTCTCTCAGAGGTCATGTCCAACGGACTGGGCAGCTTATCACACACCATGGCTGGGGCACAGGGTTAAGGAAGCACACACACACAAACAAAGACAGACAGGCACACACACACCTCACCCTTCCCTACCCCCGCCCTTACATCCAGAGGTAGGATACAGAGTACAGCCTGTGAGACGGGGAGCCACTGGCTGCAGATGGCAGAGAGGAGGACTTTGGGGTCGGAGTGACGGGAGTCTCTGGTCATCACCTTAACACCTAGTGACATCATCATCTTCTCTGTCTTCTCCTTATCTCTGAGAGGAGAGAGAGAGAGAGAGACAGAGAGAGTACACGTACGTCATCATTCACATCTCAAAAGCACTTCATCTTACATTTACATTTAGGTCATTTAGCAGACGCTCTTATCCAGAGCGACTTACAGTTAGTGAATGCATACATGTATTTTTTTTTTTTTAAAAATCATACTGGCCCCCCGTGGGAAACGAACCCAAATTGTTTTTACATTTTAGTAATTTAGCAGACGCTCTTATCCAGAGTGACTTACAGTTAGTGAGTGCATACATTTTTTTTTTCATACTGGCCCCCCGTGGGAATCGAACCCACAACCCTGGCGTTGCAAACGCCATGCTCTACCAACTGAGCTACATCCCTGCCGGCCATTCCCTCCCCTACCCTGGACGACGCTTGGCCAATTGTGCGCCGCCCCATGGGTCTCCCGGTCACGGCCGGCTACGACAGAGCCTGGATTCGAACCAGGATCTCTAGTGGCACAGCTAGCACTGCGATGCAGTGCCTTAGACCACTGTGCCACTTGGGAGATGTCCCTGCCGGCCAAACCCTCCCCTACCTTGGACGACGCTGAACTAATTGTGCGCCGCCCATCTTCATACACACTTCAACATTAAACAAGGAGGAAATAAAAACTGAATAGAGATTGATAAGATTTGAGATAGAGATCACATCATCAGAGATGTGCATCCCTTACCGTCTGGTAACGACAGCGTCATATAAACTCCATATGTTGTCCAGGACGAGCTGAACAAACAGAGGCTTCTTTCCTTTGGCCTGGAGAGGGAAGAGGAGGACTAGTGAGAAAATTGATCTTTCAGAAACATTCAAACCGTTGCTTGCTCTTATCTAGACGGATAATAATTGATTGGATTTATGCACTATTTTCTTCACTCTGGGTGCGTCCCAAATGGCACCATATCCTGTATATAGTGCACTACAGACGTGGTGTACTGGCGTTAATAGCTGGCTGTACCAACAAATAGGCTACAATGTGGTATTATGAAAGCTCTGAAGAGGCACACACAGTGCTGTTTCTCACCAAGTGCACTGAGTGGACACACACACACACACCAAAGTGCATAGGCGCACACACACTCATGCACGCGCACACACACACACACTCACACACACACACACCAGCACATAGGTCAACCCGTCCAGCCTCTCAGCTCCAGTACTGTAAAACGACTCGCGTTCTAAAAGTGCTCCAATCCAAATATGACCCTGTGTCACCGAATGTAGGACATGGCTTAAATATATCATATGCAGTCAAACCTCCATAGCACTCAAAGCAAGCATTCTATTCCCTATGGGCCCTGGTCAAAAGTAGTGCACTATAAAGGGAATATGGTGCCATTTGGGATGCATGTTATGTCCTTCATCTCTCTGAAAGGGCTGGCTACTGGCTACACTAAAAGCTCTGTTATCCACTTTCTATGGACTGAAAATCAATGGGACAGACTGAAGGTTGGACTGTGTGTGTGTGTGTGTGTGTGTGTGTGTGTGCGTTGATGAGTCTACTCTGTTCTATAGTGGAAGAAAGATTATATTGATCAGTCTGAGAATGTGACAGTCTGTGTGTAATGTATGTTCATTATGATAGTCTCACCCAGACTCCCACTGCATGACCAAATGAACACAACAAATTACAAATGCTCAAAATAAAGGTTTCTTTGGACCTTTAGAAGTTAGTGTACTGGACGGAGTCACTACTGGATGTTAATAATGAACATAAGGACAATTCAAGGGCCAACACGTAACAACAAACAACAGACTGGTAACCGAGGGCTTATGGTGCTGCCCACTCCATAGTCTACTAGCTAGCGCTGGAGGCTAATGGCTAATGCAGCCAGAAGGGTCAGAAGCTAGTGTGGTTCTGAGTGGGAGTCTGCAACAGAGTGGCTTTAGTACTATAAAGTGGAATCCATTAGCACTATACAGCTGCAACACTTAGTCCATGGGCCTGTCCAAATACCCGTACTTGTGTTCTAAATAGTACTCTGATTGGGTATGTGAAAATAGAACGTTTTATAGTACGTGAAATGTTGAAAATGTAGTATGATTTAAATGTCAGGATGTCACACTCATTTAGTCTTTTCATCTAGAAGAATTTGCTGCATAGCATTGAGGAAGAGAATGCTCCTCTCAGACCCACGTGTGTTTGACAACAGCTGATAATCAGATAAGATCACGTGCAGTACAAAAATGAACAAATGGCGGGGAACAACCCAATTGTGCATCAGATGAAGCTTTCTCAGTATGGATGAGCCTAGTATGTTGATATTTGTTGCTTACTGCATACGTTTTTACTAAACATTTCGTTCTTAATAGTATGATTAGTACACAGTATGAAGTTTTAGTAAGAGGTAGGCAAGACAGATTTCGGACACGGCTACTGTCCCAAATGGCAGCATATTCCCTATATAGTGCACTACTTTTGACCAGAGCCCTATGGGCCTTGGTCAAAAGTATAGCACTATAAATAAAATAGGGTGCCATTTAAATAAAATAGGGTGCCATTTGGGATGCAACGCTTAGCATTCATTACCGTGGTAGAATGTTTGCAATGGTCTTACCTGAGCTCCCTTCATGATCTTCTTGGCTTTAGCATTGAGGTAGAAGTCTCCCCAGAGGGTCTTCAGGAGCACCTCAGTCCTGATGCCCATCCTCTTGCTGTGGATCTGGGCAAACTGCTGGATACTACAAGAAACACACAAAGCTGCTAATGCTGGAAAAGACCAACAACAAAAAAGCAAAACACCACAGTCATTTATCAACTTTTCCCCCCTCAATTATGCTTCAGTCTCTTTGATTTGGGTTATAGTTTGACAGAGATCTTCGCTGACAATAGCCTGCATTTGAAATCTATGCCTGTTTGTAATTCCCTGAGGTTTCAGTGATGCGTTTTTTAAGTAGTCCAAACAGAGCTTTTTAGGCAAAAAAAGAGCAATGGGTCACTTGAATGGGTGTCGGTCAACACAGCTTCCACTGAATACCAGTGACTTCATTGGTTAGTTTATAGATCCTAGAGCCCCAGCTGCCCTCAAAACAAGGTATCTGTGTCCTCCTATATAAAACAGACATACTAATGACATACAATGACTATAATGCATACAGTCTAGTCTGTCTGCAGTAGCTATTATGTGACTGCTCTGTAGCATGGGGGAGAACATTAAACACCTTGCTAGCAGAGCACTGACCTGATTGGAGGGACATAAGAATGTACAGGCTGGCTAGGATGAAATATCATTACATTGGGTTTAAGATGTTTTGACTGTTATGTGAATAAGGGCTACAGTTCTCTTCCTACTCAGCTGGTTATTTAGATTTCTACATTAATTGCAGTCATGCAGAATCATACCCTCCGTTCCACGATTTTGGTCTCATCTGTTCTCAGCAGAAGGTTCTGAAAGCTAAGGCAAAAGCCCCACCTAGTGGACATTTCAACAATAACCAAATACCTGACATCAACTCCCTAGACACGTATTGATGGCCCCATATACAGTGCATTCGGAAAGTATTCAGACACCTTTACTTTTTCCACATTTTGTTACGTTACAGCCTTATTCTAAAATTGATTAAATTATTTTTGTCCTTCTGGAAGGTTCTATATAGACAGGTGTGTGCCTTTCCAAATCATGTCCAATCAATTGAATTTACCACAGGTGGACTCCAATCAAGTTGTAGAAGCATCTCAAGGATGATAAATGGAAACAGGATGCACCAGAGCTAAATTTCAAGTCTCATAGCAAAGGGTCTGAATACTTATGTAAATAAGGTATTTCAGTTTTTTTAGTTTAAAAAAATAAATGTTTTCGCTTTGTCATTATAGGGTATCGTGTGTAGATTGCTGAGGAAATTGTTTTATTTAAGGCTGTAACGTAACAAAATGTGGAAAAAGTCAAGGGGTCTGAATACTTTCCGAATGCACTGTATTTCTGAAATATGAGGTATTAGGTGTAAGTAGTTCTGTCCTCTACTAGTCTAATAGGAGTTTACACTACAGTGCCTTGCAAAAGTATTCATCCCCCTGGGGTTTTTCCTATTTTGTTGCATTACAACCTGTAATTTAAAGTGAAATGAAAAAAATAACTTGTTTCAAAAAATTCTAAAAAATAAATAACGGAAAAGTGGTGCGTGCATATGTATTCACCGCCTTCGCTATGAAGACCCTAAATAAGATCTGGTGCAACCAATTACCTTCAGAAGTCACATAATTAGTTAAATAAAGTCCACCTGTGTGCAATCTAAGCGTCACATGATCTGTCACATGATCTCAGTATATATACACCTGTTCTGAAAGGCCCCAGAGTCTGCAACACCACTAAGCAAGGGGCACCACCAAGCAAGCGGCACCATGAAGACCAAGGAGCTCTCCAAACAGGTCAGGGACAAAGTTGTGGAGAAGTACAGATCAGGGTTTGGTTATAAAAAAATATCCAAAACTTTTAACAACCCACGGAGCACCGTTAAATCCATTATTAAAAAATGAAAAGAATATGGCACCACAACAAACCTGCCAAGAGAGGGCCGCCCAACAAAACTAAAGGACCAGGCAAGGAGGGCATTAATCAGAGAGGCAACAAAGAGACCAAAGATAACCCTGAAGGAGCTGCAAAGCTCCACAGCGGAGATTGGAGTATCTGTCCATAGGACCACTTTAAGCTTTTACACTCCACGGAGCTGGGCTTTACGGAAGAGTGGCCAGAAATAAGCCATTGCTTAAAGAAAAAAATAAGCAAACACGTTTGGAGTTCGCCAAAAGGCATGTAGGAGACTCCCCAAACATATGGAAGAATGTACTCTGGTCAGATGAGACCAAAATTGAGCTTTCTGGCCATCAAGGAAAACGCTATGTCTGGCGCAAACCCAACACCTCTCATCACCCCGAGAACACCATCCCCACAGTGAAGCATGGTGGTGGCAGCATCATGCTGTGGGGATGTTTTCCCATCGGCAGGGACTGGGAAACTAGTCAGAATTGAAGGAATGATGGACAATGACCTTAAGCATACTGCTAAAGCAACACTCGAGTGGTTTAAGGGGAAACATTTAAATGTCTTGGAATGGCCTAGTCAAAGCCCAGACCTCAATCCAACTGAGAATCTGTGGTATGACTTAAAAATTGCTGTACACCAGCGGAACCCATCCAACTTGAAGGAGCTGGAGCAGTTTTGTCTTGAAGAATGGCCAAAAATCCCAGTGGCTAGATGTGCCAAGCTTATAGAGACATACCCCAAGAGACTTGCAGCTGTAATTGCTGCAAAAGGTGGCTCTACAAAGTATTGACTTTGGGGGGGTGAATAGTTTTGTACGCTCAAGTTCTGTTTTTTTGTCTTATTTCTTGTTTGTTTGACAATAAAACATATTTTGCATCTTCAAAGTGGTAGGCATGTTGTGTAAATCAAATTATACAAACCCCCAAAAAATCAATTTTAATTCCAGGTTGTAAGGCAACAAAATAGGAAAAATGCCAAGGGGGTTGAATATTTTCGCAAGCCACTGTATATTGCTTACTATATAATTCATCAGGATCTAAGAAGCAGCATTAGGAAGTGTCAAGTGAAAGGTTGAGACTGGGGATTGATTTTCTAACCAGGTTAATTTCCAATAGGGAAAACACTCTTTGCAATGGGATGAAACAGTGAGGAAATTGTCCAATAAGAAAAGATTATTGTTGTTTTCCGATTCAAAACGTTTTGCTACGGTGTGCCCTTCTGAACAGACCCCAGGCTACAGACGCACAAGACCTTAACAGAGGACCGGCAGCCAGCCCAGGGTCCTTTTCACTAAGAACCAAACAGGAGCAAACAGGCCCAAAAGGGGAGAGACTACCTCCTAAACTGAACATGTCCAATAAGAAATGCTTGTTTTTGTTCTCCGTTGCAAAACGTTTAGCTACTGTGTGTACTAATGCATATAACCCAGGACCCACCTGAAGCCCCATCCGTCTATGGCACTGGCGAAGACCACATTCCCCTGGTCTGGAGAGAAGTAGAGCTGGGAGTCGTCCGAATCCTCCAGGCCGGCGCTCCAGTCGTACACCTGCTCTGACCCGAGACACTCAGCAGGCTTGACGTCCCCCTCCTCCTTATCTTCCTCCGCCCGTTCCTCTTTCACCGCACGGTCCTCCAGCACTTTGGAGGTAAACAGAGAGCCTGTCACTGCATTCACCTGTGAGGAGGGAAAGGTGACTTAATGTTAGAATATAGTCCACTTCTCTATTATAAGAATCATACACGTTCCAGAACATTTCTCTGTTATAACCGATTCCTTAACCGAAAACAGAGTACATTCAATTCAGTTCAGTTCGTTTCAGTTCAGTTGAATTCAACTTACCCCTCAAGGGCAATTAGTTGTGTACTACCTATATGGCAGGTATACAGAAACACTTGTCTTTAGAGGTGAGGGACTCACCTGTTCTAGAATCTTCTGCAGGTGTGAGTAGGCTTCCTGAGAGGTGAGCTTCAGCTCCAAGATGAGCCGGTCAATCTTGTTGATCACCAGCACAGGCCTGATGTTCTCCAGCCACGCCTGACGCAGCACTGCTTGGGTCTACAGATGGATAGACAAACAAACAAACACGGACGGACACACACACACAGATACACACACACAAAAACGGACAGACACAGACACACACTCACAAATGGACACACACACACACAGAGACCCGGACACACAGAGACACACACACACACACACACCAGAGAAACATCATCACAACACTGATACACTGATTAGTCTCACGCCAACAAAGACAAAACAAAAATGCCATGAAGTTGAGAAAGTAGAGCCACAAATATGATTTAATATTACATTCCAAAACAATGACAGGGATTTTTCTGCCACTGAAATCCTTTTTTAATACATTTTCGGGATGGAAAAACGCTTTAAGTGTAAACTTAAACGTCTAAAACCAGATATAAAGTTGGGAAAAACATAATGGACGTATATCTTTTTTTAAATAATATAATCTTTGAGAACTAACAACCACCAAAATAAAAGCTAGACAGTCAGGGAGAATTTTATTTTAGCAGTATTGAAAAACATGGCAAAATGCATAGAATTGCAGGGAATTAGATTTAAAACTGCAACATTTTCACTCAGCTCCATGGTAGAATATGTAGAATCTCAGGAAATGAACTTTAAAACTGCCACATTTTCTCTCAGCTCTATGGAGAAATTTGTAGAATTGCAGGAAATTGGCTTAAAAATGCAAACAGAAAAAACCCTGAATGATAAAGTGTGGATGGGCTGGGTGCCCCATTCCATTAAACCATTTAATGTAACATTGTTTAACGCAGAACCAGTGGAGAACACGTGGTTAGGCTATAACCTAAGTACGTTATGTGTCCAAAATCCCACCCTATTCACTATATAGTGCACTATTTTTGACCAGGGCCCTAGAAAGGGCATAGGGTGCCATTTGGGACACAGCCACTGCCTGTAATTGCCTTACCTGTGGACAAACTCCCTCCACAGCATCTACGATGACAATGGCCCCGTCACATAGTCTGACGGCGGTGGACACCTCAGACGAGAAGTCCACATGGCCCGGCGAGTCAATCAAGTTGATCAGATAGTCCTTCTCCCCTGAGACAAACACATACACATACACATAAGCACAAGACAGACAGACAGACAGACAGACAGACAGACAGACAGACAGACAGACAGACAGACAGACAGACAGACAGGCAGACAGGCAGACAGGCAGACGGGCAGGCAGGCACATACACACTCAAGGGTCAATTAGACGGAGACATTACACACAAGTAGTCCGCCTCTCAACAGGACTCAACGTATCCAAGTCAACATGTTCCTACTGTGGTGTCTTACCAGCAGCATAGTGCAGTGAGATAGCGCTGGACTTCATCGTGATCCCTCGGATCTGCTCATCCTCCCGGCTGTCCAGGTACCTCAGCTAAGACATAAACAACATCAACAATATCAGAACACATATGTATACATGATCAATGTATAGGTCAGGGACACAGAAATAGATTAGCAAGAGGGCAAAATAACAAAGTCTGGCTACAGTAGTATGACAAGGATAATCCCACCACAGATGATTGAGATCAAGTCATACTAACCTTTCCGGCTAAGCGACTTGATATAATGCCATTGCTCGCCACCAAGCTATCTGCCAGAGTTGTTTTGCCTGCAAAATAGATTGTGGTGGATATGAATGGAGTGTCACTACAAATGGTCATGCTTGCAAACAACAACTGTCATCATGGCCCTGTACAGTAATATCTCGTGCAACATTTTCAATAATCAGGTCAATAAACTGTAGTCAATGGAACCTACCATGGTCCACGTGTGCCAGAATGCACAGGTTCCTGACGTTGGCAGGATTCTTCTGTAGTGCTTTGATCTTATCCAAACTTGTGTGTCCCATGTTTGACTGCTTTGGACTAGCTAATACATCAGGCGAGGAAACAAACGTTTGGAGATATCCTCTAGTACTGTAACTATTACCTAGCTAGCTAGCTACTGCTATGAATACTGATAGCTAACGTCAGTTAGCTACCTATCTGGTCAGTGCCAGTGCTGTCAACACAGCAAAGTTAGTTAGTAAGAAAGCAACACAACACCATTCGGAATGACAGCAATACAAAAGGTGCGTGCTATGTACCTGCAACCTCTAACGTTAGTCTTTTACAATATGCTGCACTCAGCTAAAAGAAACGTGAACACCAATGTTAGCGTGCTATACAAAGTAGTATATGACTATACAAAGTACTATATTACTATACATATGATTCATTACCTAAAATAAATCACCATATCATATAAGACATCTCAATATTATGCGTCAAAAGTCACATAAAACACAAACGTGGACGCACACAACTCACTCACGTTGTTTGGCCGGAACAATACGTAAAACATTGACGCCGCTGTGTAAATGACGTAGTACGTTACGTCGTTACTAGGAAGCTCAGCGGTTGCTGGGGTAACGTGTTGCTTCCATAGAAACAGAACTGCACACTTTAGCGCGAGCTGTCCACTGAGGTATATTAAGGACGGAGCTGTCGGGCGGTGTTTGTGGGATTGCAGGGGAAAGAGACACGAACAGCACTCGCCCCCTCAAAGAGATGAAACGGCTATGCATATGTGAGATCTGCAGCTGTGGGTAAGGAGGATGTCTTGATTTATTCTAGTAAAAATGTATGATAATATTCATGAGATTGCCAGTGTTTACACAAGTTTGTGTGTAAATAATTTATTCTCGTCCGTTAATGTAGGGTTGACTAACCCATGAATTGACACCCCTATGCCAAGTAGTGCATGGAGTTGACATTAAAATGGCAAATACTGTATTTATATTATGCTGTATTTATATTATCCACTGACATTCATTATAAATCGCTGTTGTAAAAACTCTGTCCAATCCATTCGGCATTCCTCTAGCTACAAAACTATTGCGCAGAAAAATCAAGTTGCACTAATGACGAACATAGCTACGATTTGCTTTTTTGCATAGTCTAGCTACATTTGTCATTTCACCAATACAAGGAGACTTGTCTGGCTTTATTTAGATCTGTAGGCCTATCTGTAGCTAGCTATGTCACTTGCACACAGACACTCCCTGTCCTGAGTAAAGACAATGCCCATGGTTACATAGAAACTAGTGCATTTCTTATTGCCCTGAAACGATTTGAGCCTATGCGAAATCCACAGCAGTCATTGTTAAAATGTAGCCCACGATTTCCGACATTGGTGTTCTATTGATTACAGTTGTCAGTTTATTCAAGTTCCGTTTTTTTTTATGATCATGTGATTGTTGTACAATGTTTTCATAAGCCTTTCACATAGGTCAGTGAATGCAATATTCTTTTTTCTGATTCTGATTCTGACCATGTGAATTAATTATGCTACTATGCCTGGTATGTCACCATAGATACAGTAGAAATGCATGGCTGATACATCATATTGAGTTAGATGTCTGTTAATCTAAGATGAAATACAAGTCGGGCATTCTTTTAAAGAATTCACACCGAGCTCAGTCAGTACACATTCATTGCATTGGATAACCAGGTAGATAATTGCTCACACCCAGCCTGCTGGTTTCCATTCTGCACCTGAAGGAGTTAAGATGACTTGTCTGTTCCTTCATTCAGATGATGCTCTTTCTAAGTGTAGGGTGGCATGCCACATAACTAGCCTAACTTACTGCCAGTCACCATCATTTCATTGTAAATGAATACTACACTCTATTAGTATTATGGTAATTAGTCCACTGTTAATGCATGTCAGCACAGCAGTCAAGTTTTCAAGATAGAGCACTTTCAGTAAAGTAAAATTTTGAACTTTGCTCTCTATCTAGACGCCACCGCTGCCCCCACCGGCCCACAGCTCTGTATGGAAAGCCCAATAAGACATGTGTCCTGACAGAGTACACAGAGAAGTACCCCGCCTATGGAGGATACAACCCGCCCCAGAGCCTGAAACCCAAGCCTGTTAACCACGGTGACCAGGGGAGAATGGATGGAACTACTACATTCAAGTAAACGCTTTGTCAGGGATCACACCCTAATGAAACAAGAATCCCTTTAAAGTACACTACTTTTGGCCAGGAATGCCACATAGGGCAGGGGACAAAAGTAGTGTACTACCAAAAGTAAGGGAATAAGGTGCTATTTGAGACTGTGTCAATCTTCTGCTCTTCAACCACTCTCATTTAATGCAAAGCCCTTTGAGGCACATACACACACACACACACACACCCCCTCATGCAAGCCGTGAGGTTTTGAGGGGATTTTGGAAAATATACCTTTTAAGTGGTCTCTAAAAGTCGCGCCGATTCCATATTCCACGGTAAATCTCTTATGTAGATATCACTAACTATATTAATCAGGAGTTATCCACAAAGGTCTCAATACCAAATGAATTAAAAAGACTGGTGTTTCTCTCTCTCTCTCTCTCTCTCTCTCTCTCTCTCTCTCCATAGGACTGACTTTATTCCCTACGAGGTGACTCGACGACCGGGGAAACAGCAGGCGGAGTACAAACCCAAACCTGGAAACATAGATCTGGGGACCACCTACAAACAGGACTACACCCTTTATGAGGTCCACCCCTTCGCCCCTTCCAGGCCCAGGGAGAGGGTACGCGCAACAGGGCACAAAATGGATACAGTGCCTACTTACAAAGGTGAGCTATTCTGCGTTGTTTGATGACATACCACACATATTACACATTACACATTTCTACAAGTGGGACCGCACAGTGACCCTTATTTTAGTAATATACAGTGCCTTCGGAAAGTATTCAGACCTCTTGACTTTTTACACATTTTGTTAGGTTACAGCCTTATTCTAAAATTGATTAAATTGTTTTTTTCCCCTCATCAATCTACACACAATACCCCATAATGACAAAGCAAAAATGGTAATTGCTAATTTATTAAAAATAAAAAAATTGAAATATCACATTTACATAAGTATCCAGACCCTTTACTCAATACTTGGTTGAAGCACTTTTGGCAGCGATTACAGCCACCTGTATTTGGGGAGTTTCTCCCAATCTTCTCTGCAGATCCTCTCAAGCTCTGTCAGGTTGGATGGGGAGCGTCGCTGCACAGCTATTTTCAGGTCTCTCCAGAGATGTTCGATCAGGTTCAAGTCCGGGCTCTGGCTGGGCCACTCAAGGACATTCAGACTTGTCCCGAAGCCACTCCTGCGTTGTCTTGGCTGTGTGCTTAGAGTCGTTGTCCTGTTGGAAGGTGAACCTTCGCCCCAGTCTGAGGTCCTGAGCGCTCTGGAGCAGGTTTTCATCAAGGATCTCTCAGTACTTTGCTCCGTTCATCTTTCCCTCCATCCTGACTAGTCTCCCAGTCCCTGCCACTGAAAATTATTATTATTATTATTATTATTATAAAACATCCCCACAGCATGATGCTGTCTCCACCATGCTTCACCGTAGCGATGGTGCCAGGTTTCCTCCAGATGTGACGCTTGGCATTCAGGCCAAATAGTTCAATCTTGGTTTCATCAGATCAGAGAATCTTGTTTCTCATGGTCTGAGAGTTTTTAGGTGCCTTTTGGCAAACTCCAAGCTGGCTGTCATGTGCCTTTTACTGAGGAGTGGCTTCCCTCTGGCCACTCTACCATAAAGGCCTAATTGGTGGAGTGCTGCAGAGATGGTTGTCCTTCTGGAAGGTTCTCCCATCTCCACAGAGGAACTCTAGAGCTCTGTCAGAGTGACCATCGGGTTCTTGGTCACCTCCCTGACCAAGGCCCTTCTCGCCTGATTGCTCAGTTTGGCCGGGCGGCCAGCTCTAGGAAGAGTCTTGGTGGTTCCAAACTTCTTCCATTTAAAAATGATGGAGGCAACTGTGTTCTTAGGGTCCTTCAATGCTGCAGAAATGTTTTGGTACCCTTCCCCAGATCTGTGCCACGACACAATCCTGTGTCGGAGGTCTACGGACAATTCCTTCGACCTCATGGCTTGGTTTTTGCTCTGACATGCACTGTCAACTGTGGGACCTTATACAGTGGGGAAAAAAAGTATTTAGTCAGTCACCAATTGTGCAAGTTCTCCCACTTAAAAAGAAGAGAGAGGCCTGTAATTTTCATCATAGGTACACGCCAACTATGACAGACAAATTGAGAAAAGAAAATCCAGAAAATCACATTGTAGGATTTTTTATGAATTTATTTGCAAATTATGGTGGAAAATAAGTATTTGGTCAATAACAAAAGTTTCTCAATACTTTGTTATATACCCTTTGTTGGCAATGACACAGGTCAAACGTTTTCTGTAAGTCTTCACAAGGTTTTCACACACTGTTGCTGGTATTTTGGCCCATTCCTCCATGCAGATCTCCTCTAGAGCAGTGATGTTTTGGGGCTGTCGCTGGGCAACACGGACTTTCAACTCCCTCCAAAGATTTTCTATGGGGTTGAGATCTGGAGACTGGCTAGGCCACTCCAGGACCTTGAAATGCTTCTTACGAAGCCACTCCTTCGTTTCCCGGGCGGTGATTTGGGATCATTGTCATGCTGAAAGACCCAGCCACGTTTCATCTTCAATGCCCTTGCTGATGGAAGGAGGTTTTCACTCAAAATCTCACGATACATGGCTCCATTCATTCTTTCCTTTACACGGATCAGTCGTCATGGTCCCTTTGCAGAAAAACAGCCCCAAAGCATGATGTTTCCACCCCCATGCTTCACAGTAGGTATGGTGTTCTTTGGATGCAACTCAGCATTCTTTGTCCTCCAAACACGACGAGTTGAGTTTTTACCAAAAAGTTATATTTTGGTTTCATCTGACCATATGACATTCTCCCAATCCTCTTCTGGATCATCCAAATGCACTCTAGCAAACTTCAGACGGGCCTGGATATGTACTGGCTTAAGCAGGGGGACACGTCTGCCACTGCAGGATTTGAGTCCCTGGCGGCGTAGTGTGTTACTGATGGTAGGCTTTGTTACTTTGGTCCCAGCTCTCTGCAGGTCATTCACTAGGTCCCCCTGTGTGGTTCTGGGATTTTTGCTCACCGTTCTAGTGATCATTTTGACCCCATGGGGTGAGATCTTGCGTGGAGCCCCAGATCTAGGGAGATTATCAGTGGTCTTGTATGTCTTCCATTTCCTAATAATTGCTCCCACAGTTGATTTCTTCAAACCAAGCTGCTTACCTATTGCAGATTCAGTCTTCCCAGCCTGGTGCAGGTCTACAATTTTGTTTCTGGTGTCCTTTGACAGCTCTTTGGTCTTGGCCATAGTGGAGTTTGGAGTGTGACTGTTTGAGGTTGTGGACAGGTGTCATTTATACTGATAACAAGTTCAAACAGGTGCCATTAATACAGGTAATGAGTGGAGGACAGAGGAGCCTCTTAAAGAAGAAGTTACAGGTCTGTGAGAGCCAGAAATCTTGCTTGTTTGTGGGTGACCAAATACTTATTTTCCACCATAATTTGCAAATAAATTCATTAAAAATCCTACAATGTGATTTTCTGGATTTTCTTTTCTCAATTTGTCTGTCATAGTTGACGTGTACCTATGATGAAAATTACAGGCCTCTCTCATCTTTTAAGTGGGAGAACTTGCACAATTGGTGGCTGACTAAATACTTTTTTGCCCCACTCTTCTTCCTTCTCTCTCTACTCACCAGGATGACTTTATTCCTACAGAGGAAACAGCAGGGGAGTACAAACCCAAACTGGAAAATAGATCTGGGGACCACCTACAACAGGACTACACCTTTATGAGGTCCACCCCTTCCCCTTCAGGCCCAGGGAGAGGGTACGGCAACAGGGCACAAAATGGATACAGTGCCTACTTACAAAGGTGAGCTATCTGCGTTGTTTGATGACATACCACACATATTACACATTACACATTTCTACAAGTGGGACCGCACAGTGACCCTTATTTTAGTAATATACAGTGCCTTCGGAAAGTATGCAGACCTCTTGACTTTTTTCACATTTTGTTAGGTTACAGCCTTATTCTAAAATTGATTAAATTGTTTTTTCCCCTCATCAATCTACACACAATACCCCATAATGACAAAGCAAAAATGGTAATTGCTAATTTATATAAAAAAAAAAAATTGAAATATCACATTTACATAAGTATCCAGACCCTTTACTCAATACTTGGTTGAAGCACTTTTGGCAGCGATTACAGCCACCTGTATTTGGGGAGTTTCTCCCAATCTTCTCTGCAGATCCTCTCAAGCTCTGTCAGGTTGAATGGGGAGCGTCGCTGCACAGCTATTTTCAGGTCTCTCCAGAGATGTTCGATCAGGTTCAAGTCCGGGCTCTGGCTGGGCCACTCAAGGACATTCAGACTTGTCCCGAAGCCACTCCTGCGTTGTCTTGGCTGTGTGCTTAGAGTCGTTGTCCTGTTGGAAGGTGAACCTTCGCCCCAGTCTGAGGTCCTGAGCGCTCTGGAGCAAGTTTTCGTCAAGGATCTCTCAGTACTTTGCTCCGTTCATCTTTCCCTCCATCCTGACTAGTCTCCCAGTCCCTGCCACTGAAAAACATCCCCACAGCATGATGCTGTCTCCACCATGCTTCACCGTAGGGATGGTGCCAGGTTTCCTCCAGATGTGACGCTTGGCATTCAGGCCAAATAGTTCAATCTTGGTTTCATCAGATCAGAGAATCTTGTTTCTCATGGTCTGAGAGTTTTTAGGTGCCTTTTGGCAAACTCCCAAGCTGGCTGTCATGTGCCTTTTACTGAGGAGTGGCTTCCCTCTGGCCACTCTACCATAAAGGCCTAATTGGTGGAGTGCTGCAGAGATGGTTGTCCTTCTGGAAGGTTCTCCCATCTCCACAGAGGAACTCTAGAGCTCTGTCAGAGTGACCATCGGGTTCTTGGTCACCTCCCTGACCAAGGCCCTTCTCGCCTGATTGCTCAGTTTGGCCGGGCGGCCAGCTCTAGGAAGAGTCTTGGTGGTTCCAAACTTCTTCCATTTAAAAATGATGGAGGTAACTGTGTTCTTAGGGTCCTTCAATGCTGCAGAAATGTTTTGGTACCCTTCCCCAGATCTGTGCCACGACACAATCCTGTGTCGGAGGTCTACTGACAATTCCTTCGACCTCATGGCTTGGTTTTTGCTCTGACATGCACTGTCAACTGTGGGACCTTATATAGACAGGTGTGTGCCTTTCCAAATCATGTCCAATCAATTTAATTTACCACATGTACTCCAATCAAGTTGTAGAAACATCTCAAGGATGTAAATGATAAATGGAAACAGGATGCACCTGAGCTCAATTTCGAGTCTCATAGCAAAGGGTCTGAATACTACAGTTTTTTAATTTGTAAAAAATAGTTTTCGCTTTGTCATTATGGGGTATTATGTGTAGATTGCTGAGGAAATTGTTTTATTTAAGGCTGTAACGTAACAAAATGTGGAAAAAGTCAAGGGGTCTGAATACTTTCCGAAGGCACTGTATAATAAATATTTGCTTTTAAAATTAATACACTGCAATTTCTATGGGATCTTTTATACATTAAAATTACATCATAACAATAATAATGAGCTCTATAAATAAACTATGGTTATTACCAAAATGAACACTTAAAAATCATTCTTAATGTTTCACCTCCAGAGGATTTCCGACAGTGGGAGATGTGCAAGCGGGAGCTGAAGAAACCCGACCTGAGCTACCACCCTCCAGACGCCAAGTTCGACGGCCACACCACCTTCCAGGACGACTTCCTCACCCGAGGCCTGGCCCCCAGAGAGAGCTTCAAACCCTCCAGTAGCCCCAAAATGTCTGATGCCCCCTTCGATTGCGTGACCAGTAACCAGCAGTGCTATGTGCCCCACCCTCTGGAGGCGCGCTGGGTGAAGGCTCCAGAGCCCTATAGACCCAGTAGCCAGCCCTTACAAGATCTTACCACCAACCGAAGAGACTACCAGGGCCTGCCAGGACAGCTGCCCCAGAGCTATAAGCCTAACCCTGGAAAGGTAATGCTGTGTTTAATGATATCTCACTAGTCTCTCGTGGACAGACTACGTAATCGAGCATCTGACCAAATTACACAGGATTTTAGTGCTGGGTTAACCCAGATTAATATCTCACTAACTCACTCATCTTTGCTTATCTTTTCTGGGCCAGTGATAACATTCTACTCTATCCCACTCTACTCTGTTCCTAGGTGACGTCTGACATTCCGTTTCAGAGCAGCACAGAGTTTACGGAGCGTTTCCAGCAGTGGCCCGTGTCCCTGCCTCAGCTGCGCAAGAGCCTGCAGTACGTCAGCCCCACAGAGCACATGGACATGAGCACCACGTCTGGTGCAGACTACGTCCGACACAACATCCAGCCCTTCATCTCCGCCAAGCCCTTCAATCGGCCCAACAAGTCATCAGCTCCCTTCCAGGTAGGGATGGGTCCACATATCAGTCTATTATCACTGGACTGATATATCGCTGAACGGTTGTGTTGTTGTACTTATATGTATCGCCTATGGACGTTCTGATGTAATATTATAGTTATATTGTTCACTAAATTGTATGCTGTCAAATTCTTGGGATATTATTTCAACAGCACATGAATATGATTGAATGTTTTGTTACTCATTTTGTCCAAGAACCGGGTGGGTTGGGATTTTTTGGGGTACGTTTATCGTAGCATCACAATGAACATTCCCACCCCACTACCTCCAGGTCTGCACCACCATGAGAGATGACTACCAGCCTTGGGAGGTCAAGAGACAGGCCATGATCAAGAAGCCTGAGGAGCTGCAGAGAGCCACCGAACGGATGGACTACCTCTCCACCTTCAAGGTCATTCAAGACGTTTCTGTTTCCACTGGCATGCCAGGGCAAATCTCAAATCACACCCTGCCTATAGAAACATCATTCTGGGAGGAGCACAGGGTCAGCTACATTGTAGCACCTCTGGAGTTGTTTTAGGGGCTAAGTGCCCTGCGGAAGGACACAACAATAGGAGATACTATAGTGCCTACCATCTGAAATCACCAGCCAGTTCCCAGTACCGCCTCCATGTAGTGCACTAGTTTTGGCCAGATATGGGTGTGTTAAGGGTGTTCTTTGAAACACTGCTCAAGTATCTACACTTTTAGAAAAAAAGGGTTCCAAAAGGGTTCTTCTGCAGTCCCCATAGGAGGACCCTTTTTGGTTCCCGGTAGAACCCTTTTTTTGGTTCCAGGTAGAACCCTTTTGGGTTCCATTTAGAATTCTCTGTGGAAAGGGTTCTACCTGGAACCAAAATGGTTCTACCTGGAACCAAAAAGGGTTCTTCAAAGGGTTCTCCTATGGGGATAGCAGAAGAACCCTTTTAAGTTCTAGATAGCACCTTTTTTTCTAAGAGTGTAGCAGAGCCCCTGTCTCTCTTTGGCCCTAGGTCACATTCTTATAAGCTGTTGTTTGAAATTCTATTCTATTCGATTGTATACTATTATCCAGGCCCACTTTACACCCCACGAGCTGCAGCCCAGTGTGAGCTTCAAGCCAGCTCACGCCCCAATGAGGACTGATGCCCCATTGGAGGGCGGCACCATGTACAGCACAGAGTTCACCCCCAAGAGGTAACACACACACAGAGTTACCCCCAAGAGGTAACACACACACAGAGTTACCCCCAAGAGGAGACAGACAGACACACACACGCACACACACACACATACACATACGCTAAGCATTTCGCTGCACCATTTATATCTGCTGTAAACGGTGTACGTGACAAAAAACATTTGATTTTGATTTGATTTGACACACACAGAGTTAACCCCCAAGCATTTAGTCTGGAGTCTCCTGGAGTCCGCCGTTACGTCCCAGCAGGCACTAAAGCTATACTGAGATGTAAAAGAACAACAGTGAAGCTATTTTACTGCCAGAATGAAACGAATGACTGTGATGTACAACTGAATCACTTTTATAACCTCAAGCTTACTGAGTGCTAGTGAGTTCTGTGAATTTGTGGATGATTATCATGTGCTGACCTTGCAGCAAGATGATTTTCCACGAGAACAGACAATAAAGTATCGCATCTTATAGATAGTATGGTATTTTATCGTATATCATTCAGGTAATGGTATGATATTGTGTTGTAGGATCAGCATTTGTCCAGCCAGCTATGACTCGCCGCTGGGCTTCGTGTTTGAGGACAGCGACGACAGGGGACACAGGTTCTACAGGAAGTTGCCGTCTAAGGACAGGAACAAGATGGCTGCTGGCATGGCGGTGGCTGTGGTATCATAACGTATGACCATGATATTTGGTGACCCATGCTTTTTATCTTAAAAAGAGCATGTTAAAGCAAAACTAACAGTCTGTTATGTTTTTTATTTTATTTTGGTACTACCTGAATAGTAATTGATAGTAATTATCAATGATCAATTGAATAGTTGGCTAATCAAAACAAGCACTATTTATGTATTAATCAATTAATTATCCTTGTGTATCCATGTGCCAAATTCTGCAAAAAGTCATCACAGTCAAACATTTGTTGAAATTCACAAACATAATGCAGTACTTTCTGGGGACATTTTCGTATTGCAAAATAATTGTTCAAAGTGCAAAAGACATACCGAAAACGTCATTATAATCTTGCAGTGTGATTTAATTTTAAGGGGGCGATTTTTTTACTAGAGTTTAGTAAACAGCTATACAAAAATAATCTTTATAATGCACATTGTTGGAAAAAAGTTTTATATAATGCTTTTGCACTAGGAAAATGTCTCCCTCTGTGTGTCATAATAATGAGTTTACCAAGCAGAATATCAGGTGATCAAACTGTCTTTATTGTCTTAGTATGTTGTCTTTCTAGAGCACTTAAAAGTTTTGTTCCAAAAACATCTTCATGGTGTTCCTTCAATCCAGATAGGATTTTACAAACAGTATTCATGTCAACACCCAATGTTATGGTAACGTTATCGATATGTTGTAGTAAATATCAGTAGCATTGATTATTGTCAGTATGCGTTTGTTTGAGTGAGTGGCACTTGATCATGTATCTGCAAAACACATGACATGTATCTACAAAACATTAGAGATTGAACATAAATGCATGAGAATAAAACCAGAAGGGAAAGGTATTAAACATACCTGTGATCCAACAACAGCAAGTGCTTATTAATGTACTGTACGGTTTATATCGAGTCTTTTTAAACAGGCGTTATGAACACAACTAAATAAGGTAAGAAAATAAAGTCCCACAAAAAATCTACATACTCTCAATGTACAATATTGCACTTAAAAACACAGTATATACAAGACATATTTTACAATGCAGCACATTGGTTGGATAACCAAAACAATAGCTAAAAACGAGTGGACCCCATTATTCAAAAAGAGAACAGAGAAATATGACTGTTATCTCTAGGGGCCCGTCCCAAATGGCACCATATCCCCTACATAGTGCACTACTTTGGACCAGTAGTGTACTATGTAGGGCAGGCAACTAGATTCAGCCACGGGCCGATTTCTGTCCGAGCGGATGGTTGGGGGGCTGGAGCAGAATTATAGAAATTTGTACAATGCAAATTGACCACAAGCAAGCAGAAAAATTGATTGAATTGGAAAATAACAGTCATCTCATACCTTGATTACATTGAGACACGATCACGTCTCTCTTTTTATTCGTGGGAATACTTGGGAACAGAGTTTGGTGCGCGGGCCGCCTGTTTCCGACCCCTGATGTAGGGAATATGATTGAGTGCTATTGGGAATGCAACCCATACCTCTCTCGGTCACTGCAGAGCCTGTTGATTCCAAACAGTGATCATTTCTGTGGACAATTATTATCTCACATGATACATACTACTGTATGCACTGTACTCCGATGAATGTGTTTAAAATGTACGTACACATTGAATGTTAACTGTTATGGCAAATATGCAATATCCAATAAATCATTTTGAAACCACTTTTCCCCCTACTGTCTGACTAGTAGGTTCTACTGCAAATTATTTGGTTCAGATTGTTGTTTTCTTATGTCAATGACGTTCCACTACAATCTGACATCCCTTTGCCTTCACACATGTGAATGGTCTTATAGGATTCTGTATCACACATCCAGACCAGTGGTGTAAAGTACTTAAGTAAAAATACTTTGAAGTACTACTTAAGTAGTTTTTTACTTTTACTTCACTCTATTCCCAAAGAAAATAATTTATTTTTTACCCCATACATTTTCCTTGACAACCAAAAGTAAATGTTGAATGCTTAGCAGGACAGGAAAATGTTCCAATCCACAAACTTATCAAGAGAACATCCCCTGGTCATCTCTACTGCCTCTGATCTGGCAGACTCAATAAACACAAATGCTTTGTTTGTAAATTATGTCTGAGTGTGTGTGTGTGTGTGTGTGTGTGTGTGTGTTTTTTCACGGCTAGCCAGGGGCATACATATCCCAATTTCTTTTTGTTTTTTTTAATGGTGCCGTCTAATGATACTTTTATTTATTTATTTATACTTGATGCTTAAGTTTATTTGAGCAATTACATTTACTTTTGATACTTAAGTATATTTAAAACCAAATACAAATGGAGAATTTTACTCAAGTAGTATTTTACTGGATGACTTTCACTTTTACTTGAGTCATTTTCTATTGAAGTATTTTTACTTTTTCCACCACTGTGTACAGTATATTCATACATAGATGCGCTTGTTATAAATTAAAAACAATAAAACACAGGATCCCCATAAACTACTTCTTCTATTGGCGTGTTGTTGCTAGAGCATTCTTTCCTTGTATTCATCCATTCTGTGCACATTACTGTGGAAAACAATGACAAGGCCATTTAAAGATAACACCGCTCTCTCCTTTAGGAATGGGTTAACAACACACACTTTACACACACGCCTTCGCACCCACTTGTTACATGTGTCATTGGGATAATAGCTAGTATTGGTAAAGTGTTACATTTCTAAGGCCATAGGTCCAGATTTGAGGCTTGCATCAAATTACATTGGATGGGTCATCCGAAAAATTCCTTCAGTCCATATCTGTCTTCAGCAAAGGGTCTCTGGCAAACATCCCCTGTGTCTCTTTCTCAGTCTAATCATGTCATTGGGGCATCATTATTAGGAGGAATCTCCATTTAGGTTGTGACGAAAAAGTGAAAAAGATTTCCTCCATTTTGTGGTGGTAGTGTTTTTAAAGCAGTCTTAATGTCGATGAACTCCAAACAGTCTCAGTCTATGCCAGTCTACTGTGATACATGGTCCATCCATCCATCCATCCATCCATCCATCCATCCCTCCCTCAATCCACCCATCCTTCCATCCCTCCCTCAATCCCTCCATCCCTCCCTCCATCCATCCTTCCATCCCTCCCTCAATCCATCCATCCTTCCATCCATCCCTCCCTCAATCCATCCATCCTTCCATCCCTCCCTCAATCCCTCCATCCCTCCCTCCATCCATCCATCAATCCCTCCATCCCTCCATCCATCCTTCCATCCCTCAATCCCTCCATCCCTCCCTCAACCCATCCATCCATCCATCCCTCAATCCCTCCCTCCATCCATCCATCCCTCATTCCTTCCTTCCTTCCTTCCTTCCTTCCTTCCTTCCTTCCTTCCTTCCTTCCTTCCTTCCTTCCTTCCTTCCTTCCTTCCTTCCAGCCCTCCCTCCCTCAATCCATCCATCCCTCCATCCATCCATCCATCCACCCATCCCTCCCTCAATCCATCCATCCTTCCATCCATCCCTCCCTCAATCCCTCCATCCCACCCTCAAGCCATCCATCCCTCCATCCATCCCTCCCTCAATCCCTCCATCCCTCCACCCATCCCTCCCTCAATCCATCGTTCCAAGAGTTCTGTTGTCCATACTATCTCAACTCTCCTGGGTGAAGTTTCCTCTAGGTACAGATCTGGGATCAGCTTCCCCTCCCCCATTCCCAGCCTTAACCATTAGTGGAGGAAATGCAAAACTGATCCAAGACCAGCGTCTAGGGGCAACTTCCTCCTAGAACACTAGGTGGCGCCATCCTCCTGTAAACAGGACTCACAACACCTCTGCTTGTACATGTCGATGGGGCAAAGCTTTAACCTCTTCACCACGGCACAGTAGTGGGTGGTGTCTTTGCATTCACCTTCACAGAAACACAGAGACAACAGAGAAAGTGTTAAATGCTGAAACTCGACATTTTGACATAAAATAACATCCATTCTCCCCGCAGAAGAACATGGTTACGTCCCAAATGGCACCCTATTTCCTTTATAGTGCACTACTTTTGACCAGGGCTCTTATAGGGCTCTGGTCAAAAATAGTGCACTACAGTATATAGGGAATTGAGTGCCACTTGGAACCCATTCCATATTTCCATTGAAAAGTAGCAGGAAGTAAAGTGGTCCTCTGTCGCTCAATTGGTAGAGCACGGCGCTTGTAACGCCAGGGTAGTGGGTTCGATCCCCGGGACCACCCATACGTAAAAATGTATGCACACATGACTGTAAGTTGCTTTGGATAAAAGCGTCTGCTAAATGGCATATTATTATAAAGAGTCTGGCTTTACGTCAAATTCAGGCAGAAATTCAACATCAGTGTAAATGTCGATATAGATTTGGGTCTGGACTGTTAAAAATAGGGTTTGTGGGATTTTACTTGTGCGTAGTCACTTTCTAATAGATGTTTCTTTAGTCAAAAATATGCCAAACCACTCCAATGACATATTCCACAGCTTCAGAAGTCAGAGGAAAGGTAGTGAGGGTAATATGGTAACATGGTAAAAACACTACACACTTACTTCCACAGGTGGTGGCGTTGCAATGCTGCCAGGTGGCTGGGCGTCTGTGCCAGGTGCAGTGTTGGTCTGCCAGGGTTCTGCCACTCCTGCGGTGGGCACAGTCCACCCTGCGAGACTGAAACCCGCTGCCACAGGCTGCCGTGCACGCTCGCCACGGCCCCACACGCCAGTGCACGTCACACAGCTCTGACGAACAGTTACGCACTGAGACGGGTCTGAGGGAGACAAAGAGAGATAGAGATAGGGGGAAAGCACCAATGGAGACAGCTAGTCTTACTGGGGACCGACACATAACGAAAAATACATTACAAACAAAAGACATTCACAAACATAAACATGTAGTGTGTGTGTGTGTGTGTGTGTGTGTGTGTTTGCATCTATCAGTTACATATACATGTCAGTACAAACACACAACAAGTAGGTCACATGGGGGAGAGGCGTTGTGTCATGAGGTGTTGCTTTGTTTTTGTTTTTTTAAACCAGGTTTGCTGTTCACTTGCGCTATATAAGATGGAAGGGAGTTCCATGAAATCATGGCTCTGTATAATACTGTATATTTCCTTGAATTAATTCTGGACCTGGGGACTGTGAAAAGACCCCTGGTGACATGTCCGGTGGGGTAAGTGTGTGTGTCAGAGCTGTGTGTAAGTTGACTATGCAAACAATTTGGAATTTTCAACACATTCATGTTTCTTATAAAAACAAGAAGCGATGCAGTCAGTCATTCCTCAACTGTCATGCATATTATTGAAGAGCAAGACGTGCAACTCTGTTCTGGGCCAGCTGCTGCTTAACTAGGTCCTCCTTTGCAGCACTTGACCATATGACTGGACAATAATCAAGATAAGATAAAACTAGAGCCTGCAGGACTTGCTTTGTGGAGTGAGGTGTCAAACAATCTCTTTATCACAGACAGACCTCTCCCCATCTTTACAACCATTTAATCAATATGTTTTGACCATGACAGTTTACAATCTAAGGTAACCAACTATTTTAGTCTCCTCAACGTGTTCAACAGCCACGCTATTCATGACCAGATTCAGCTGAGAGTCAACGAGAGAGGATGAAAAGAGACCGTGTGTGTGTGTGTGTGTGTGTGTGTGTGTGTGTGTGTGTGTGTGTGTGTCACAGGAGGTTGCTGAGGGGAGAACGGCTCATAATAATGGCCAGAACGGAGCAAATGGAATGGCATCAAACACATGGAAACCATGGAAACCATGTGTTTGATGTATTTGATGCCATTCCACCATTCTGCTCCAGACATTACCACGAGCCCATCCTCCCCAATTAAGGTGCCACCAACCTCCTGTGGTGTATGTTTACCTTTCTCTGGGGTCACAGTCAGGGTGTCTGGTGCCGTTGACATGTCTACACACCACCGACCTCTTCTGGACTGTGAGGGTGGGACCCAAACATTTCCCTGAGCACTGTGGGCAATGGAGTCATTAACATGTTTTCACAATACTAAACAAGGAAAGTTTCACAGCCTGACAACTTTATTCAGGACTTCTTTGTAGTAATTGTATTGGATGGAGTAGGGGGGAGTTGGCCCTAGACGGTGATCTTGGGTCAGTTTAGCATTTCTCCCACTAAAGGTTAAGGTTGGGGAAGGAGAAGTTGATCCTAGGTCTGCATCTAGAGGCAACTTCATCCCAGAACATCAAGTACACAGTATTCAAACTGAGGAGACACCATACCATCATGCATGTCAATGATAATAAAGGTAATGTTGTGGCTAATAGTTGTGTGTGTGTGGTGTCTGTGTGTGTCTGTGTGGTCTGTGTATGCGGGTGTGGGTGCGGGTGCGTCTGTTCGTATGTGTCTGTCCATGAGTGTGTGTGTGTGTGTGTGTGTTTGTGTGGGTGGGTGTGTGTGTGAGAGTGTGGGGGCAGGTGTGGGTGTCTCTGTGTGTGTGTGTGTGTGTGTGTGTGTGTGTGTGTGTGTGTGTGTGTGTGTATGTGTGTGTCTGCGTCTGTACCTTTCCCCAGGGGCTGGTAACCCAGGCAGGACAGTTGTCGCAGGTACACTCCTGTCTGTCTGCTGGCCGTGTGTTCCTCCCACAGACAGATGGCGCTAGCATCCTCACCGCTCCCCCCGCCTCCACCTGCCCACAGGACACCTGCCGCTGTCTCCAGCCCCGCCCACAGGAAGTGGAACACTTAGACCACACCGATGCTACCCAGCTGGGAGAGAACAATCAATCAATCAAATAACATTGATTATATAAATCCCTTTTTCCATCAGTACTTGTCACAAAGTGCTTTACAGTTACCTGACCTAAACCTCTACAGAGCAAGCAAAGCAGAAGGAAAAGTCTAAACATATTGGCCAGGAAAAACTCCCTAGAAGGAAGAAACCTACAGAGGAACCAGGCTCAGAGGGGGAAAGGAATACAACTACCCATGTAGTGTTTGAGATCCTGTTTGAGATCTGTAATACATAGGGCCATTTAGCTCGATGATCAGGACTCTATGTTCTGCCTATGGATTTCAGTGGGTAAGGGAGGGTGGGGTATGTTGAGCAAAAGGGGTAAGTTGAGCGACTCTTGTTTCTAGGAAACCATACACAAAATATATAATGTGACCACATATTTAGGAAAAGGTCATAATGAAGGAAGAGTCTGTGAAGGAAGAAACCACATGGAAAAAGTAGTCAGCAAGTTAGGTCCAAAAAATACATTTTCATGAAGCTTGTATCTAAACCAAAGTAGATAATTTAAAGATTGTTCTATACATCAGTTGGGGTCTCTATAAGCTTCAATATGAGGTCCTAAACTTATCATGAAAGTGCATCCTTGTTACTGTGTGGGCTAATATAGTCAAAATGTTTGCCTTTGGGTAAGTTGAGCCAATGGCCATGGGGTAAATTGAGCCAATGGCAAGTTAAGCAAATTGAAGTGTTTTCTTCCAAGGCGTAATGCAAAGCATTATCACTGGGATATGAGGTAACAACAGGGCCTGGCCTATGTTAAAAGGGTACAGTGTTTGTTAGGTGTTAAGCCTGTGTTAAAATATGCTTTAAATGATTAAAAGACAAAAAGTGATTGTGACTGTGTTGAATTGTGTTTGTGAAATAAAGATAGACATGGTTTTAAATGAGGTAGTAGTAATATTTCATTCAGTACAGAAATTTGTATGCGGCTTAACTTACCCTGTCCCGCAGCCCAGATACCCCATACCCGGGGTAAGTTGTGCCAAGAGACCACTTTTTTTGGACAAGCTATGTTTTCATAACTGTAATGTTTACATTAATTCTGAATATTTCCAGGGATAAACAACATTCTGAAATATATGTAGATATCTTTGTTAGAAAGACTACTATATTTCCCTTGACAGGGTGATGCTGAAATGAAAAAATGGCTCAACTTACCCCACTCTCCCCTATTGACTGCTACAGTACAAGGAAAAACAATGAAACCTCAACACTTGGACCTGAACGTGATTTATGTGTATTGGTCTTGGACAGTTGCTGACATAAAGCAGTAGGAGAAGGACACAAAATAAGGAGAGCTATAACCTGCATCCCAAATGGCCCCCTATTCCCTATAACGTATATAGTGCACTACCTTTGACCAGGGCCCATAGGGACGCCCAGAGGGATCTGTTTAAAATAAGTGCACTATACAAGGAATAGGGTGCCATTTAGGACACAGCTATAGTAGACAAGACTCTTCATGACAGTGGCTCATGAAGCTGAATGACCCATTTCCCTGTAGATCTCTCCTCAGGGGTCAGTGAAACCAACGCATCTGTTTTACCTAGAAAAACAGATGTATATATTTTGAGCTCTATGTGTGTGTGTGTGTGTGTGTGTGTGTGTTTAGAAAGGGTGTGTGTGTGAGAGTGTGTGGTGTGTGTGTGTGTACCTGGGGGGGCAGTCATGCAGGTTGCAGGCCAGCTGTGAAGAGACAGGTCTGTCTAGGTGGTGACACATGGAGGGTGTGACCTCACGTCCTTCCGGCGTGACACAGCGGACCCTCCGCGTCCTCGTCCCCCGGTCGCCACACGAGGCGCTGCACGCCGTCCAGTCCCCCAGACGCCACGCAAACTCTGAAGACACACGCATACACACACACACGTTATTGAGCTGAAACAAACCCCACCGCAAGCACGCACGCTCACACACATAATACGTTATAAACACCACAGCAGTACGAGCCAGAAACACATCACACAGCCCTACAGAACACACACCCACTGACCCACCCACCACCACACCCACTGACCCATCGACACCAAGTAGAACAAACCAAATCCTCATTACCCAGTTTGACTTCATACCACAACATAGTAGTAAAACAAAGTATGGCTTGGCCAACACTGGGCCTATCATTTTCATTCAATAATATCACATTACAGTCATTCAAATATTTCAAATATTTAACATTACGACAAATAAAAGGTTGAGGCACAGCTAGCTACAGTACACTGGAGGCCCGTCCCAAATGGCACCCTATTCCCTACATAGTGCACTACTTTTGACCAGGGCCTACAGGGCTATGTTCAAAAGTAGTGCACTATGGTAAAGGGTGCCATTTGGAACGCACACTGGGGCTGCTGCATATTTTGAGTCTACCGATAATTGGCCCAGCCCTCGGCCTAAGCTCTTCCAGAGCCCACTAACGTTCCGGTTCAGATCACAGAAAGGACAGAAGGGAACTTTAACTAGAAACAACATGGGGTCCAAGAGGTTTTGGCACATCTTAAAACGATACAGGGTTTAGGGCTTAAGTTCACTACCATGCCTTTCTTTTAATTTTCTCTCTCTCTCTCTCTCTCTCTCTCTCTCTCTCTCTCTCTCTCTCTCTCTCTCTCTCTCTCTCTCTCTCTCTCTCTCTCTCTCTCTCTCTCTCTCTCTCTCTCTCTCTCTCTCTCTCTCTCTCTCTCTCTCTCTCTCTCTCTCTCTCTCTCTCTCCCTTTCTTCTCATCTCCATAACAATCACAGCCTTCATGTTTTAAAATGCTGTTGATATTATCCATTAGTGCCATTAGTCCAATGTCATACCCCTCCACTTCCCTCATGTCTGAATCATACAAATTCTGCAGAAGAAAGATATGTTCTGATGACCGTGAGTGGTACAAATTGCCATGTTAATTGGGGTCTGGTGATAGCTACCAGCTGTATCCACAGAGAGGCTGAATGTGTGTCCCAAATGGCACCCTATTCCCTACATAGTGCACTATGTATCCACAGGGCTCTGGTCAAAAGTAGTGCACTATGTAGGGAATAGGGTGCCATTTGGGACGCAACCTGAAAGTGAGGTTGGACCTGACAGCACAATGGCCATCATGTGTATGTTTGATCCAGTTAAGAACAGGACATAAGGGGAGGGAAAAGGGAGACTAATGGAGCTCTACAAAGGGAATGGGTTGATTTGTACAATACGAGCCTTAGAAGTCAGTGAATAGACAAACCAGTTAAGACGCATGCCCATGCACACGCACACACATCAGTTCAGTGTAATATCGGACTGCACACATACAGTTGAAGTCGGAAGTTTACATACACCTTAGCCAAATACATTTAAACTCAGTTTTTCACAATTCCTGACATTTAATCCTAGTAAAAATTCCCTGTCCTAGGTCAGTTAGGATCACCACTTTATTTTAAGAATGTGAAATGTCAGAATAATAGTAGAGAGAATTATTTATTTCAGCTTTTATTTATTTCATCACATTCCCAGTGGGTCAGAAGTTTACATACACTCAATTAGTATTTGGTAGCATTGCCTTTAAATTGTTAAACTTGGGTCAAACGTTTCAGGTAGCCTTCCACAAGCTTCCAACAATAAGTTGGGTGAATTTTGGCCCATTCCTCCTGACAGAGCTGGTGTAACTGAGTCAGGTTTGTAGGCCTCCTTGCTCGCACACGCTTTTTCAGTTCTGCCCACAGATTTTCTATAGGATTGAGGTCAGGGCTTTGTGATGGCCACTCCAATACCTTGACTTTGTTGTCCTTAAGCCATTTTGCCACAACTTTGGAAGTGTGCTTGGGGTCATTGTCCATTTGGAAGACCCATTTGCGACCAAGCTTTAACTTCCTGACTGATGTCTTGAGATGTTGCTTCAATATATCCACATAATCTTCATTCCTCATGATGCCATCTATTTTGTGAAGTGCACCAGTCCCTCCTGCAGCAAAGCAACTGAGTCAGGTTTGTAGGCCTCCTTGCTTGCACACACTTTTTCAGTTCTGCCCACTGTAAGGTTCTGTATTTTCTTAGTCTTCTTTGTGTTCTTGAACGTAGCCCTGTTTCTTTGTGTTCTTGAACGTAGCCCTGTTTCTTTGTGTTCTTGAACGTAGCCCTGTTTCTTTGTGTTCTTGAACGTAGCCCTGTTTTTCATTTTTGTTCATTGATTTCACCTGTGTTTGTTACTCACCTGGTCTCATCAGCTCCTTATTTAGTTCAGTTCATTCTGTTTGTGCCTTGTGAGGTATTGTTCGTTTTGACTCTACTAAGACTTTTCCTAGCTCGTTTGTGAGAACCAGTTATAGCCTTCAGTCCTAGTTTTTGATTCTCCTGCCTGTTTGCCTACCTGTGTATGACTATTGCCTGCCTGTGACCACGATTCCTGCCTTCTGTGAAGGTGAAATAAACACCTGCCACGCTCTGCACGTTAATCTACACCTTTTTCTCCCTGAGTATTCATTACACCCACACATTTTCTATAGCATTGAGGTCAGGGCTTTGTGATGGCCACTCCAATACCTTGACTTTGTTGTCCTTAAGCCATTTTGCCACAACTTTGGAAGTATGCTTGGGGTCATTGTCCATTTGGAAGACCCATTTGCGACCAAGCTTTAACTTCCTGACTGATGTCTTGAGATGTTGCTTCAATATATCCACATCATTTTTCTTCCTCATGATGCCATCTATTTTGTGAAGTGCACCAGTCCCTCCTGCAGCAAAGCACCCCCACAGCATGATGCTGCCACCCCCGCGCTTCACGGTTGGGATGGTGTTCTTCGGCTTGCAAGCAACCCCCTTTTTCCTCCAAACATAACGATGGTCATTATGGCCAAACAGTTCTATTTTTGTTTCATCAGACCAGAGGACATTTCTCTAAAAAGTACGGTCTTTGTCCCCATGTGCAGTTGCAAACCGTAGTCTGGCTTTTTTATGGCGGTTTTGGAGCAGTGGCTTCTTCCTTGCTGAGCGGCCTTTCAGGTTATGTCGATATAGGACTAATTTTACTGTGGATATAGATACTTTTGTACCTGTTTCATCCAGCATCTTCACAAGGTCCTTTGCTGTTGTTCTGGGATTGATTTGCACTTTTTGCACCAAAGTACGTTCATCTCTAGGAGACAGAACGCGTCTCCTTCCTGAGCGGTATGATGGCTGCGTGGTCCCAAGGTGTTTATACTTGCATACTATTGTTTGTACAGATGAACGTGGTACATTCAGGCGTTTGGAAACTGCTCCCAAGGATGAACCAGGATTTTTTTTCCTGAGGTCTTGGCTGATTTCTTTTGATTTTTCCATGATGTCAAGCAAAGAGGCACTGAGTTTGAAGGTAGGCCTTGAACTACATCCACAGGTACACCTCCAATTGACTCAAATGATGTCAATTAGCCTATCAGAAGCTTCTAAAGCCATGATATCATTTTCTGGAATTTTCCAAGCTGTTTAAAGGCACAGTCAACTTAATGTATGTAAACTTCTGACCCACTGGAATTGTGATACAGTGAATTATAAGTGAAATAATCTGTCTGTAAACAATTGTTGGAAAAATTACTTGTGTCATGCACAAAGTAGATGTCCTAACCGACTTGCCAAAACTATAGTTTGTTAACAAGAAATGTGTGGAGTGGTTGAGAAACGAGTTTTAATGACTCCAACCTAAGTGTATGTAAACTTCCGACTTCAACTGTACCTGTAATTACAATGAATTACATGGAAGGTTATCAGAAGTTTGTGGAGTGGGTCTCATTAAATGTTATTATTAGGTGCAGCAGAAAGTTGTGCGTAAACCGCACACGCAGGCACGCACGCACGCATATATACACACATACACACACACACATACATACATATACACATACACACACATACACATTAAAAATAAAAAATAAATATGCCATTTAGCAGACGCTTTTATCCAAAGCGACTTACAGTCATGCATGCATACATTTTTGTGTATGGGTGGTCCCGGGGATCGAACCCACTACCTTGGCGTTACAAGCGCCGTGCTCTACCAGCTGAGCTACAGAGGACCACATTAGCACACACACACATACATACACACATACATACACATAAATACACACACACACACACATACATACATATACACATACACATACACACACATACACATTAGCACATACACACATACATACATACACACACACACACACACACACCTTCAGCATGGACGTGGATCCAAGCAGACAGTAGCTGTGTGTTGTCGTGGATGGGGGTTTGGCATCGGTAGCGTCCAGAGAACCTTCCCTGCACAGTGTTCACCTCCAGAACACGACCTCCCACCAGTATACGGTACTGAAGACCCAGAACCAGACCAGGACCCAGACTCTGATCCTGCCCAGGACTCAGACTCTGTCCTGGGGCCAGGTCTGGTCCGGTCCAGGTGGACTCCTTCAGAGTGTGGTTCTGGTAGTCCCAACGGACAGGCCCTCTATGGTCTGGAACCACTGGGCATCCTGGAAGGAGAGAGGGAGGCCATTGGTCATTGTGTGTGTGTGTGTGTGTGTGCGTTCATTCATACTTACGTATATGCCATTGTGTGTTAGTGTGTATACAGTCATGGTCAAAAGTGTTGAGAATGACACAAGAATTGGTCTTCACAAAGTTCGCTGCTTCAGTGTTATGAGATATTTTTTTGACAATTCCATTAAGTTTATGCAAAGAGTCAATATTTGCAGTGTTGACCCTTCTTTTTCAAGACCTCTGCTATCCGCCCTGGCATGCTGTCAATTAACTTATGGGCCACATCCTGACTGATGGCAGCCTATTCTTGCATAATAAATGCTTGGAGTTTGTCAGAATTTGTGGGTTTTTGTTTGTCCACCCGCCTCTTGAGGATCGACCACAAGTTCTCAATGGGATTAAGGTCTGGGGAGTTTCCTGGCCATGGACCCAAAATGTCAATGTTTTGTTCCCAGAGCCATTTGGAGCACCTTGCCATAAGGCAAAAGTGATAACTATCATGCTGGAAAAGGCAATGGTCATCACCAAACTGTTCTTGGATGGTTGGAAGAAGTTGCTCTCGTAGGATGTGTTGGTACCATTCTTTATTCATGGCTGTGTTCTTAGGCAAAATTGTGAGTGAGCCCACTCCCTTGGCTGAGAAGCAACCCCATACATTAATTTTCTCAGGATGCTTTACTGTTGGCATGACACAGGACTGATGGTAGCGCTCACCTTGTCTTCTCCGGACAAGGGGTTTTCCGGATGCCCCAAACAATCGGAAAGTGGATTCATCAGAGAAAATGACTTTACCCCAGTCCTCAGCAGTCCAATCCCTGTACCTTTTGCAGAATATCAGTCTGTCCTTGATGTTTTTCCTGGAGAGAAGTGGCTTCTTTGCTGCCCTTCTTGACACCAGGCCATCCTCCAAAAGTATTCGCCTCACTGTGTGTGCAGATGCACTCACACCTGCCTGCTGCCATTCCTGAGCAAGCTCTGCACTGGTGGTGCCCCGATCCCGCAGCTGAATCAACTTTAGGAGAAGGTCCTGGCGCTTGCTGGACTTTCTTGGGCGCCCTGACGTCTTCTTCACAACAATTGAACCTCTCTCCTTGAAGTTCTTGATGATCCGATAAATGGTTGATTTAGGTGCAATCTTACTAACAGCAATATCCTTGCCTGTGAAGCCCTTTTTGTGCAAAGCAATGATGACGGCACGTGTTTACTTGCAGGTAACCATGGTTAACAAAGGAAGAACAATGATTTCAAGCACCACCCTCAGCTTCCAGTCTGTTATTCTAACTCAACCAGCATGACAGAGTGATCTCCAGCCTTGTCCTCGTCAACACTCTCACCTGTGTTAACGAGAGAATTACTGACATGATGTCAGCTGGTCCTTTTGTGGCAGGGCTGAAATGCAGTGGAAATGTTTTTTGGGGATTAAGTTCATTTTCATGGCAAAGAGGGACTTTGCAATTATTGCAATTAATCTGATCACTCTTCATGACATTCTGGAGTATATGCAAATTGCCATCATCAAAACTGAGGCAGCAGACTTTGTGAAAATTAGTATTTGTGTCATTCTCAAAACTTTTGACCACGACTGTACAGTACCTATGCGTAAGATCTCTCCAGGTCTGATGGTCACAGTGGTTCCCATGCGTGAAGCCATGAGGACTCTCCTCCTGCTCAGCTCCTTGGACTGCAGGGACACTGTAGACCCTCTGGCTGGAGTTGGGTCGTGAGCTGGACCTGGAGTTGGACCTAGAGTTAGTCCTGTCAATCAATCAATCCATCAATCAATTAATAAATGCATCCATCAATCAATCATTCATTCATCCATTCATTCAAGTCCAAATACGTGTGAACCAATAGTTTCATGAACCTACAGTTCTGGGGCAAGAAAAGTGAAATCCACAGTAAAATCTAAACAATATGCCAGAATGTTTCTGTCCTCCTCCTCCCCTACCATGTTCTAACTAGGGCCTTCAGGACAGGCTCCAAGTGTTGTCATAGTTTGATTCATCTAGTTTCTGTATTAATCCTGGTAAGATTCAACGTATCATCATGTTGTGTGGAGGTTTACAGCAGGTTATCATCATGTTGTATGGAGGTTTACAGTAGGTTATCATCATGTTGTATGGAGGTTTACAGCAGGTTATCATCATGTTGTATGGAGGTTTACAGTAGGTTATCATCATGTTGTGTGGAGGTTTACAGCAGGTTATCATCATGTTGTATGGCGCTTTACAGTAGGTTATCATCATGTTGTATGGAGGTTTACAGCAGGTTATCATCATGTTGTATGGAGGTTTACAGTAGGTTATCATCACGTTGTATGGAGGTTTACAGCAGGTTATCATCATGTTGTGTGAAGGTTTATAGTAGGTTATCATCACGTTGTATGGAGATTTACAGCAGGTTATCAAAACGTTGTATGGAGCTTTACAGTAGGTTATCACCATGTTGTGTGGAGGTTTACAGTAGGTTATCATCATGTTGTATGGAGGTTTACAGTAGGTTATCACCATGTTGTGTGGAGGTTTACAGTAGGTTATCATCATGTTGTATGGAGATTTACAGCAGGTTATCAAAACGTTGTATGGAGGTTTACAGTAGGTTATCATCACGTTGTATGGAGGTTTACAGTAGGTTATCACCATGTTGTGTGGAGGTTTACAGTAGGTTAGGATATGTTCCAGAGTAACAGACAACATGGACAAGGAGTAATGTAGTCCATGGTACCAAATACAGAGCATGGACTACGAATGTCTGAGTGTTAGACAAATAGTGTTAGACCAGGTTCTTGGACCACCCTGGTTTGGTCAGAGTAGCGTGTGTGTGTGTGTGTGTGTGTGTGTGTGTGTGTGTGTGTGTTTGTGTGTGTGTTCCACAATGAGGTGTGATTAACATTTGAGAGGAGATGGATTTTACCACCCTGATAGCTAGCACAGCGCCAGCCGTATACTTCAGCTGTGTGTGTGTGTGTGTGTGTGTGTGTGCGTATGCGTGTGTGTTTGTGCGGGCTGCCAGAGCACTTGTGTGTCAATCTGTGTATGCACTACGCACGCTTGTGTGTGTGCATTTACACTTGTGTGTGTATATGCACGCTCACATGTGTGTGTGTGTGTGTGTGTGTGTGTGAACCCACCGGTGACATGGAGAACAGTGGAAGCGGTGTATTTTCCTATGGGGTTGGCAGTGACACACGAGTAGGTGCCTTGGCTCTGGAGAGTAACGAGCACGGGACACCTGTTCCTCTGGAGAGTAGTGGGGAGGCACACGATGGTGGAGGAGAGAGAGAGGGAGAGGAGAGGGAGGAGAGGGGGGGGGAGGTGACGGAGCGGGAACGGCGATGGGAGGGGAGCAGAGAAAAAGGAGAGAGGAGAGTGAGGGAGGGAGGGAGAGGGGGAGGGGAAGGAGAGGAAAAAAGAGAATGACAGGAGAAGAAAGAGAAGAGCGAGAGAGAGGGGGCAGAAAAGGCAGAGAGAGAGACAGAGCGAGAGAGAGAATAGGAGAGAGAGAAGAGAGGAAGAGAGAGCAGAGAGGAGAGGAGAGAAGAGAGAACGAGAGAGACGAGAGGATGAGAGAGAGAGCAGAGAGCAGAGAGGGGACGAGGAGGAGGAGAGAGAGAGAGAGGGATAGGAGAGATAGTGAGAGAGGAGAGAGAGAGAGATAGTGAGAGAGAGAGAGATAGTGAGATAGTGTAAGAGACACAAGACTGAGAATAACTGATTGAGACATCCCACAATTCACAGAATACTTCACTTTAAACAAATACAAAAACACACATAGAACATCCAACATAGATAAACGCCCTCATGACAGAGAGACTGATTAGAGTACTTGAGACTGGTTATTACAGATTACAGGGACAAATCAGAGCACTGGATGCCAATCCTTACGTCCTGCCAACTCCCTTCAGACACACACATACAGTCCCAAATGGCACCCTATTCCTTATGCAGTGCACTATTTCTTTATGGGCCCTGGTCAAAATTAGTGCACTATATAGAGAATAGAGTGCCATGTGGGATGCGGCCCTGAACAGCATGTTGGCTTGTACCTGGCTACAGTTTTTCAAACATATTTCTATGGGGTCTGAGCAGCCACAGCCAGACTGTTACTAGACAAGCTCATTCTGTATTGTCTCACATAGTCAATCTATGAACTAGGGATGGGGGTCAATTCCATTTCAATGGTGAATGTGCATAAAGATGGAGGAATTCAGATATGACGTCATTGTTTTTAGGACTACCCACATAGTTCTTAAAATACGACGCGTGACATGGTTCAATGTGCCAGTAAATCAGCACAATATACTTTTTTTTGTTTTTTTTAATTGCCGCCGTCTTGGAGCTAGAATTGGGATCATGTATACCAGGGGTGTCAAACTCATTCCATGGAGGGCCTAGTGTCTGCAGGTTTTTGGTTTTTCCTTTCAATTAAGACCTAGACAATCAGGTGAGGGGAGTTCTTTACTAATTACTGACCTTAATTAATCAATCAAATACTAGGGAGGAGTGAAAACCCGCAGACACTCGGCCCTCTGTGGAATGAGTTTGACACGTGTGATGTATACTGTGCTAATGACAATACAAAAAATGTGAAAAGGAGAGCATTGTACAATAGGACGAACTTGTGGTAATAGGCATTTGTGGTAAGTACATCTGCAATGTATCAGTAACAGTGCAGGCTGGTGGGAAGAGCTATAGGGAGATGGGATCATTGTAATGGCGGGAATGGAATGTCCGTATGTTTGATACCGTTCCATTTATTCCATTCAAGCCATTACTATGAGCCTGTACTCCTATAGCTGCTCCCACCAGCCTCCACTGATCAGTACCTCATATCTGCTCCAGTGACCTCTTCTGGTTATTATTATTATTATTATTATTATTATTATTATTATTATTATTATGTGTTGAGAATGAACTCTACCACAGGAGGGTGCTGTTGTATCACCTCCATTCAACTAACTAACCAATACCACGTACTGACTGTCATTTAAGTGATAATGCCTGAGAAGCAGGTGTTTGCAGGATATATTGGCAGGATATATTGCTAGTCTAAAAGAAAGGGCAGATAATGTCTAGATGCTTTTTACAGTGGAGATAGAGTTTATAAATTGCCTGGTTGGCCTGATGAGACAGTGGATTGCGCAGTGAGATGGAACAGTGAATAGGCATTTCAACGTCATAGCCTTAGCCGGTGGTAACTTGTGGAATAGACACTGGCTGGAATGCGGTTTACACCCACCCATCGTTCTCTCCCCTCGTCTCTCTCTTTCTCTCCCCTCGTCTCTCTCTCTTTCTCTCCCCTCGTCTTGTGGAATAGACACTGGCTGGAATGCGGTTTACACCCACCCATTGTATAATTGTCAGCATACATAGACATATGTGTTATTTCTGTTGAGAAATGCATGTACACAAAACTCACTGGAGATGAATCCAATATTGAATATACTGACATGGTGAAATGGTGTGTGTGAAGGTCCAGTGATTGTTTCTCCGGATCTCTCTGACCTCTCTGATACAGATTAAATGACCTTCTACAATCAGGATGGTTTATGAGATATATCAGCTCAGGATCCTACAGGTGTCTGTGTGAGAGAGAGTGTCTTTCCATGTGTCTGTGTCTGTGTGTGTGTGTGTGTGTGTGTGTGTGTGTGTGTGTGTGTGTGTGTGTGTGTGTGTGTGTGTGTGTGCGTGTGTGCGTGCGTGCGTGCGTGCGTGCGTGCGTGCGTGCGTGCGTGCGTGCGTGCGTGCGTGCGTGCGTGCGTGCGTGTGTGTATGTCTTGGAGGGAAGCCAATTGCTGCCAGACAAGACATCTCTTCACAACCCAAAGTAACACATAAAAGACAGTATCTCTTTACATTGCCTCAAATACCTTTCTCTCTCTCTCTTTCTCTCCCCTCGTCTCTCTCTTTCTCTCCCCTCGTCTCTTCTCTTTCTCTCCCCTCGTCTCTCTCTTTCTCTCCCCTTGTCTCTCTCTCTTTCCTCCCCTCGTCTCCCTCGTTTCTCCCCTCGTCTCTCTCTTCTCTCCCCTCGTCTCTCGCTCTTTCTCTCCAATCGTCTCTCCTCTTTCTCTCCCCTCGTCTCTCTCTTTCTCTCCCCTCGTCTCTCTCTTTCTCTCCCCTCGTCTCTCTCTTTCTCTCCCCTCGTCTCTCTCTCTTTCTCTCCCCTCGTCTCTCTCTTTCTCTCCCCTCGTCTCTCTCTTTCTCTCCCCTCGTCTCTCTCCACTTCTCCCTTATCCTTTCTCCTCTCACTGAGATTAAAGGACATGTTATTTAAGTCTCATTTGTTTTGGCCTCATACCTTTACAAACACACACACACACACACACACACACACACACACACACACACACACACACACACACACACACACACCACCACCCCCTCGCTCATCCCCTTCAATCACTGGGTGATTAAAGCAGCTGTGTGTGTATTTTTTTTTTGGTGTGTGTGTGTGTGTGTGTGTGTGTGTGTGTGTGTGTGTGTGTTTTTGTATAGGTGTAAGGCCAAAACAAATTAGACTTAAATAACATGTCCTTTCATCTCAGGCGGTTCTCACTAAGGTGATGATGAGGCTGAGGACACTTTCCAAATGGCACCCTATGCTTTATACAGTGCGCTACCCTATAGGCCCTGGTCAAAGGTAGTGCACTATAAAGGGAATAGGGTGCCATTTAGGAGGCAACCCGGGAGGATTCAACCCAATAACTATTGTGTGGTTGATCAAGGTTATTGGCTGTCTCAAATAACACCCTGGCCTATCCCCCAATGTCCCATAGTGCACTACAGCCCTATGTGGGTGTCAGATAGAGCTGTGGTCAAAAGTAGTGCCCTATATGGGTTCGAAAGTAATGCCCTATATGGGGAATAGGGTGTCAGATAGGGCTCTGGTCTAATACCACTTCACGACATACATTACAAACCTCTCTAGCTAATAATTGTAAAACAGATAATTTTCAACAACAAATTGCACGATGGTGTAATCCTGGAATGCTGTAGCCAACTGCCAAGCCTTGTCACAAAGCATGACTTCGCAATCAAAGCTCTGCTCTCATTTTATACACATGATTACAGCTGTAACTGAACTAGTAAGTTTAAATCCATGTGTCGACCGCTAGAGCCCTGACTGGCATGGTGGCTTTCCACACAATTCACTTTTCAGCTAACTGTGTCTTTCAGTGTGTCTACACTGTAGCTATGATCCGCCACATAACCATATGATATATAAAACCCATGTTAGCGTATTGGATCGTGGTAGGACAAGGCTGATATTCATTTGTGTTAACCACAGTATATTACTGCCAAAGAGCAGCCAAAACTAGAACTGATAAAGACCAGTGTGGTCAACATATCCTACTATTTTCACTATAGATATGCTGTATAGATACAAGTTATTGTTTGAAATACAATTTCAACACAAGGTAAGTCCACTTCATAACTTGATCATGTCTACCAGAATGTGCTACCTTATAGGATAGATGTACCTTATCACATGAATTTGCTTTACTACTGGGTCACCTTTGAAGCTTTATAATGTCTGACAAAATATGCTACCTTACACCAGATATCTATTATTGCTTGAAATTCAATTTAAACACAAGGTAGATCATTTTGTAACTTGACAATGTGAGCCACAAAATGGAGGGACTGTCTGTCCAGATGAGATCCACAGAATTATAATCACTATGGCATGATCCACTCCACACTCTTAGAAAAAAAGGTGACACCTAGAACCTAAAAGGGTTCTTTGGCTGTCCACATAGGATAACCCTTTGAAGAACCCTTTTGGTTCCAGGTATAACCCTTTTCAGTTCCATGTAGAACATTTTACACAGAGGGTCTACATGGAACCCAAAAGAGTTCTACCTGGAACCAAAAAGGGTTATCCTATGGGGACAGCCGTAGAACCCATTAGGAACCCTTTTTTTCTAAGAGTGCAAGGGATTTAATTGCTATGGTGAGACCTACCTGTGACAGGGCAGTCTAGAGTTAGGCTAGCCCCAGGGCGTAGGCTGACCCGTCCCCCCACCACAGCCCTCAGACTGGGGACCCCCTGGTCCGATACGTTCCTCCACGACACAGCTATCACAGGAGGCTCTGAGAAAAACAGACAACAACTACAAATGTTTCCAAGTGGCTCATTTATCCCCCCCTCCCCTCCCCTGTAACTATTCCCCAGGTCATTGCTGTAAATGAGAATGTGTTTAAAAAATATATATAAATTACCATTTGCACTTTATTTGTGTCTCTGGGCTGAGAAACATTTTATAATAACTTTCATGAATAAGTATTAATAAACGATTTATAAATAGTGTACATACTATGAATACATAAGAATTTCCTAATTGTCAGACCTGGGACATGGTCGTATTCACTAGGAACTAAACAGAAGCAAACTGGCTGAAAATAGGAGGGACTACCTGAACTTGTCCAATAAGAAACGCTTGTTTTCGTTTTCTGTTGCGAAACATTTTCCTACGGTGTGCACTAGCGCCGAGACCCCTAGAGGGTGTAGTTCTTCCTGACGTTGTGTATTACCTCTTGGTGTCGACGCAATCAACCCAGTCGGTAATACATTCATGTCTCCCGGTGACCGGTTTGTAAAATAAAACATCCTCCTATCAGGCTACAAAGGCGTCGGTGTCCTCCTGAACTCCATTTAATGAGGGGCTGCCAGAAAATAATAAAACACCACATTCCACCACCATGCTAGGGTGGCTAGCTACTGCTGGACATTGTGTTCAGCAGGGATAAACAACAGACTGGTGCAAATGATTGGCTGAACGCTGTACCTAGCATGGTGGTGGAAATGATGTTTTATTAAGACAGTACGTTTAATTTCCCTCTTTGTTTTCTGGCTGCACGCCATATTTTTTTATATTATTTAACCTTTATTTAACTAGGCAAGTCAGTTAAGAATAAATTCTTATTTACAATGAAGCTAGTTAAGCTAGTTAAGGAGCAAACCGATGCCTTTGCAGCCTGAATGGAGGATGTTTAATGTACTTGCTAGTATTGCCGACTACGCTATTTGCGTTGGGACGACAAAGACCAGACGACGTATACTTTGGCGAACCTTGGGGCTAGGGGTGCACTAATTAATATAATAAGATGTTGTATTGTCACATACACCGGATAGGTGCAGTGAAACATGTTGTTTTACAGGGCCAGCCATAGTAGTATGGCGCACCTATAGCAAATTAGGGTTAAGTGCCTTGCTCAAGGGCACATCGACAGATTTTTCACCTTGTCGGCTCGGGTATTCAAACCAGCGACCTTTTGGTTACCTGGCCCAACGCTCTAACTGCTAGGCTACCTGCCACCCATATACAACCCAGGTGACAGGATACTCACCAGCTAACAGCAGCTGTGTAGTCTCTGAGTCTGAACCGTGGGTGTTTGAGGCTGTGCACCTGTACACTCCTCTGTCCTCCGGCCCAGGACTAGAGATATGCAGTCCTCCAGAGATATCCCAGTGTACCCTGCAGCAGCAAAGGAACACAAGACATGTATCTCCCCCACAGTCATTACTGCAGTGGCTTGCGAAAGTATTCACCCCCCTTGGCATTTTTCCTATTTTGTTGCCTTACAATCTGGAATTAAAATTGATTTTTTGTGGGGGTTGTATCATTTGATTTACACAACATGCCTACCACTTTGAAGATGCAATATATTTTTGGGGTGTGAAACAAACAAGAAATAAGACAAAAGAACAGAACTTGAGCGTGCATAACTAATCACCCCCCCAAAGTCGATACTTTGTAGAGCCACCTTTTGCAGCAATTACAGCTGCAAGTCTCTTGGGGTATGTCTCTATAAGCTTGGCACATCTAGCCACTGGGATTTATGCCCATTCTTCAAGGCAAAACTGCCCCAGCTCCTTCAAGTTGGATGGGTTCCGCTGGTGTACAGCAATCTTTAAGTCATTCCACAGATTCTCAATTGGATTGAGGTCTGGGCTTTGGCTAGGCCATTCCAAGACATTTAAATGTTTCCCCTTAAACCACTCAAGTGTTGCTTTAGCAGTATACTTAAGGGTCATTGTCCTGCTGGAAGGTGAACCTCCGTCCCAGTCTCAAATCTCTGGAAGTCTGAAACAGGTTTCCCTCAAGAATTTCCCTGTATTTAGCGCCATCGATCATTCCTTCAATTCTGACCAGTTTCCCAGTCCCTGCCGATGAAAAACAAACCCACAGCATTATGCTGCCACCACCATTCTTCACTGTGGGGATGGTGTTCTCGGGGTGTTGAGAGGTGTTGGGTTTGCGCCAGACATAGCGTTTTCCTTGATGGCCAAAAAGCTCAATTTTAGTCTCATCTGACCAGAGTACCTCTTCCATATGTTTGGGGAGTCTCTCACATGCCTTTTGGCGTACACCAAACGTGTTTGCTTATTTCTTTCTTTAAGCAATGGCTTTTTTCTGGCCACTCTTCCGTAAAGTCCAGCTATGTGGAGTGTGCGGCTTAAGGTGGTCCTATGGACAGATACTCCAATCTCCGCTGTGGAGCTTTGCAGCTCCACATGGTATATATCATAATTCATTTTAACATGTTATACATTGTAATTCATTTTAATATGTTATACATCATAATTCATGTTAACATGTTATAAATCAGAATTCATGTCAACATGTTATACATCGTAATTCATTTTAACATGTTATGCATCATCGTTCATGTTAACATGTTATATAACATAATCCATGTTAACATGCTATACATCAGAATTAATATTAACATGTTATACATCAGAATTCACTGAAACACTACAGATAGCTTGGCAATGCATGTTAGTTTGAAATAATTCACCATTCTTGACCTTTCTAGCAGGGCTATCTAGTGATTACCATCTCATCCACAAGGCCAAAGACTCTGGCCAGAGTCTAGAACTGTACAGCCTATGATCTCTCAGCACGCACATGACATGAAACTATTACAGAGAAACTCTCTCAGGATGGGTCATACCCCGGTTAAGACAACAGCTACGTGTGTGTGTGTGTATGTAAGTGTGTGAGTGCGTTGTGTCTGTGTGTGCGTGCGTATAGTGTGTGTGCATCATCTGTCTGTGTGTGTGTGTGTGTGTGTGTGCAGATGCTATTAGTGCATGAAATCAGAAACTCTCCCCATGTCATTGTCTTCTTCTGATTACAACATATGAAATAAAGGTAAAGTCCTGATCTAGTCTAATCAAATGAATGAGCCGATTAAAGATCTACAGTGCCTTGCAAAAGTATTCATCCCCCTTGGCGCTTTTCCTATTTTGTTGCA